CTAAGCACAACTACATCAGTAAAAATGAATATAATATATAATAATGAATGTGTTTTCCTCGGGGGGGTTATTAGGAATTTAATACAAACCCTTACACGTGTAAAGCATGTGATCTACCTATGAATCCAAGTCTGAATGTATCTAAAGTCCCATTAAGACACATAGACTTTCAACTGGCTTTAAAAAAAGATTCAGTTATATGTCATCTGTTTAAGATACATTTTAGATTCAAAGACACGGATCAGTTTAAAGTTTAAGAATGGAAGAGGCTATGGTCATGAAAACAACAAAAACAACATTCCCCGAAGTGACCCACACATTCCAAGTGACTTTCTCTTCTCTACCTGCCCTCCCCATCAGCTTGGTTTTTTTTTAATATAAATTGAAAATCTGGTTCTAAAATTTTTGTTTGTTTGATTTTTGTTTTTCGAGACAGGATTTCTCTGTAGCTTTGGAGTCTGTCCTGGAACTCGCTCTGTAGACCAGGCTGGACTCAAATTCACAGAGATCTGCCTGTCTCTGCCTCCCGAGTGTTAGGATTAAAGGTGTGCGCACACCACCTCTCAGCTTGGTTCTAAAATTTATATGGAATCTCAAGATACCTAGAATAATCTGAGTGGTCTTGGAAAAAGAACAAGATTGTGAATCTACACTTTTCCAAGCCCAGAACTTTAAAGAAACAGTAATAAAAATGTATATGCGCAGCCAGGCAGTGGTGGCGCACGCCTTTAATCCCAGCACTCAGGAGGCAGAGGCAGGCAGATCTCTGTGAGTTGGGGCTAACCTGGTCTACAAGAACTAGTGCCAGGACAGCCAGGAGTGTAACACAGAGAAACCCTATCTTGAAAAACAGAAACAAAAAAAGTGTGTGTGCTGGGGGTGTAGCTCCGTAGGTAAAGTGCAGGCATGAGGCTTTGGGTTTGATTTCCACTACTACATAAAATGGACTGTGGTAGCACATGTCTGTAATCCTGGGACTCGGGAGGCTGAGTCCGGAGGACCAGAAATTCAGTCACCCTCGGCTACCAGAATGAATTTAATGCCAACCTGGTTTATGTGAGACACTGCCTCAAAAAATAACTGTCACAAACTGGGCATGGTGGTATGCCTGTAATCCTAGCACTTGGGACTGAAGCAACTTCCAAGCCAGTCTGGTTTAGTTAATGAGTCCCAGGCCAATAGTGCTACATAAATGAGATTGCTTTTATATTTCTAAGTTGTGATATTAGCATAACAGGAAGAGAAGTGCGACTTAAGAAAAAAATGTGTGCATCTATGGTCAAATAATTTTTTTTGTTGATTTTTTTTGTTTGTTTTTCAAGACAGGCTGTGGGAGCTCCTTTAAGATACCAGCCCACTTGGGTGTGGTCTCATATACTATAAATGCAGCTGCAAAGCGAGCTCCTGCTTTCTTGCTTCTGGCTGCTAGACTCTGTTCCTGTTCCCTGTTCGTGCAGAGGATTGTGATCTAGGACAGTGATCTGTAAATCTCCCCTAAATACATAACCCTTTATTATATGTAATTCTGAACTAGTGTGGGATCCTTTTGTAACTTCAACCATCAAAGGCAGGGTTTCTCTGTGTAACAGCCCTGACTGTCTGGAAACTCCCTTTGTAGACCAGGCTGGCCTCGAACTCACAGAGATCCACCTGCCTCTGCCTCCCAAGTGCTGGTATTGAAGGTGTGCACCACCACTACCCAGCTAAGGGGGAAACTTCCTAAAACAAATAGTGCCATTGCACTTGTACCCTCAACCCACACCTTATACAGTTCACTGAAAACTTATAGCTGAGAAGAGAACGTGTATCTGTGCAGCTATAGATTTGACAACAGATTCTTCAGAGAATTATATTGCTTTTTGTAAACATTAAAGCATTTTGTACTGGGGACACTCTCATCTGACCTGAGGGCACATCATGGACATAGTACACATGCAGACAAGCAGGCATACACACATACACAAAGATAATTCTATAAAGTCGATACTTCATTTGGCTCAAACTTTTTGTTAAGTCATATGAAAATGGGCTCCAAATGTATTCATCATATGTCAACTATAAATCAAATATAATTATAAGGCACATACCAACAAAATCTCAGAAGAAAATACTAAAACTCCAATATACAAAAGTGTTTAGAGTTGGGCAGTGATGGTGCATGCCTTTAATCCTAGCAATCAAGAGGCAGAGGCAGGTGGATCTTTGTGAGTTCTAGGACTGCCTGGTCTACAAAGTAAGTTCCAGGACAGCCAGGGCTACACACAGAAACCCTTTATCAAAAACAAAACAAAAAAGCATTTATTATGCATGAACTTGTGATTTAACTGTACTATATTAACAGTATGTTTAAAAAAAACTTCAGAGGGGCTGGAGAGATGGCTCAGTGGTTAAGAGCATTGCCTGCTCTTCCAAAGGTCCTGAGTTCAATTCCCAGCAACCACATGGTGGCTCACAACCATCTGTAATGAGGCCTGCAGGAAGAATACTGTATACATAATAAACAAATAAATAAATATTAAAAAAAAACTTCAGAACATGATGTCTTCTACTTTATATATTTAGCTATTTTAAGATAGTCTAGAAAATCTATCAGGTAACAACTATTGGAGAGTATATTACTTTCATTGTTACAAAGATTAGGGCCATGTTAAAAATACAACTAATTTCTGTATTTATCTACTTAAAATGTGAAATTGTTATCTTAGAGTCAATGAAAAAAAGATCAATTTAAACCAATTTTTTTGTTGTTTTGTCTTTTAGTTCCTGGCAGGCATGAGACTAGAATGGGTTTCTCAGTTTACATAATTGAAGGTTCATAACTAGTATCTTCGGATTTTTAGGTTTCAGAGAATTGCGAGCTCAAGGTCATCCTTTGCTACACAGTGAGTTAGAGTCCACACCGCTTCAAAAAAAAAACCTTAGTAACAACTTTCTTTTCAAATATAAGCCTGCACTTGAACTCAAACTTTAATAGGCAGTAAAAATGTGGACCTCAGGGGCTGGAGGGTTGACATGTGAAATAAACAGAAATACATGATTAATTTTTTTTTTTTCAAGACAGGGCTTCTCTCTGGCTGTCCTTGAACCAGCTCTGTAGACCGTAGACCGGGCTGCCTGCGTCTTGCTTCCCAAGTGCTGGAATTAAAAGAATGCACCATTGCCACTCAGCTCCCAGTTTTAGAAGGTAAAACTTATTGCTGGGTGTGGTCATGAACAGCTGTAATTCTAGCACTTGGGAGACTGAATCAGGAGGATTGCCTTGAGTTTGAGGCCAGCAACAGCTATATAAAAAGACCCTGTATCAGAAAATTGAAAAGAGCTGGGTGGTGGTGGTGGAGTCAGAGGCAGGTGGATCTCTGAGTGCCAGGACAACACACAGAAACCCTATTTAAAAAACAACAAAACAAAACAAGACCCAAAGAAACACACTAATGGTTGGCTGGTATCACAGGATCTGGAATCACAGCCTAGGAGGCAAGCCTTCAGGCAAACCTGTGAGCAGTTAGGGAAAGGGCTTGGATCCCTCTCTTTCTTGACTGTGATTGCTACGCAAGCCGCTGCTTCAAGTTCTACCACTATGATTGAGTGCAACCTTTCTCCCTAAGTTGCTTTTGCCAAGGCACTTTATCCCAGGGACAGGAAAGGTAACTAAGACACAACACACAAAATTAGCACAAGCATTCTACTGATCAATGATTTTACCATATAACCATCTCCTTTTAAAATGTGCATTGGTATTTTGCCAGCAAGCCTGCCTGTCTTTATGAGAGAGAGAGAGAGAGAGAGAGAGAGAGAGAGAGAGAGAGAGAGAGAGAGAGAGAGAGAGAGAGAGAAGAAACAGAAGGGGGAAATGGGAGAAGTGAAGTGGGGAGGGGCAGAAGCTTCCTCTTTGAGAGGGAAAGGGAAGCTGAAGACCAGCCTGTCTCAGGGGACAGGGGAGGGAGTGGGCATGGTTTGTCTCTTAAAGAGACAGAACAGATGATTACAATGAGGGTACGGGGAATTTAACTCAGGTCCTCTGGAAGAGCAGCCAGTGCGCTTAAACAGTCTCTTATTAAGTAAAAAAAAATTTTATTATAGAATTTATAGCAAAGCATGCTGAAATAAATGTATTAATATATAGGAAGGCAAAAGGCCCAACCTAATGGTAAAACAGCTTTGATTTTAATACATTACAAGCAATTTTCTGTTGATGGCTTCATGTGTAATTTTGGTAACAGATTAATTCTTTAAAGTCATGTCAGTTTTATAAGAGGTAAAAGGGAAGAATATTTTTAGACTACTAAAATTAAGGTAAAGTCATTTTTTAAGTTTTAAGATATCTCACCAGTCGGTGGTGGCGCACACCTTTAATCCCAGAGTTTGGGAGGCAGAGGCAGGCAGATCTCTGTGAGTTCAAGGCCAGCCTGGTCTACAAGAGGTAGTTCCTGGACAGAAAACACAAAAAGAGGTCCTCCCCCTCCCCACAAAGAGAGTTTCTCTGTAGCTTTGGAGCCTGTCCCAGAAGAAACTTGCTCTGTACACCAGGCTGGTCTCAAACTCACAGTGATCCACCTGCCTCTGCCTCCAGAGTGCTGTGATTAAAGGTGTGCGCCACCACCGCCCAGCCTTGTTTTATTTTTCAAGACAGTTTCTCTGTATAGCTCTGGCTGTCCTGGAACTGGCTTTATAGTTCCGGCTGGCCCTGAATTCACAGAGATTTGCCTGCCTCTGCTGGCATTAAAGGTGTTCCATCACTGCCTGGCACAAAATCTTTAGACTTTAATTTCAAATAATTTCAACAAGTTTTAGACCAGTGAGGTGGCTCAGCAGGTAGAAGCACTTACTTGCTGCCAAGTCTGATGACCTGAGTCTACTCTCCACCATGGAAGACAGCACCTACTCCTGAAAGTTCTCCTGATTTCACCTACTCTGTCACCACATTACACACACACACACACACACACACACACACACACACATGAAGTGAATGTAAAAAAAGTCAAACATCCAAAAACAAGTAAATAAATAAAGTTATTTTATTTGCAACAGTAGGTAATGAAAAGAATAAATAATTTGGATAGTGAACTAGCATACATTTACATCTTAAGACAACCAATGGGTAAAGCAACTAAACTAAGAAACTGCACACAGAGGCAGGCAAATCTCTGTGAGTTCCAGGCCAGCAAAGGCTACATAGTGAGATACTGTGGGTATAGCTCAGTGGTAGTGTTGGCCTGGCATGCAGGAAGCCCTGGGTTTCTAGTATCACAAAAACAAAACACCCTTCTGCACAGAAGAATGGACAGTCAAACTTGACAAATTTATCATTAGCTCCATAGAGAAAGTCAAATCACTTTGTAACTAGGAAGTGTAATAAGTATTTTCTAAAGTGCTCAATTCATTTTAATAATATCAATAAATTATTTACACTCCCACATACTCATGTGAGATGTTATTAATATTTATGCTTTTGATACATTTTTTTTTGAGATAGGTTTTCACTGTATAGCCCTGACTGGCCTGGAACTTGCTATGTAGACCAGGCTGGCCTCTCATGGGATTAAAAGCCTATGCCACCACACTTGGCCCTTTTTCCTATTCTTACATCAAAGTCTTCTCAAAAATTTCTGGAAAGCCTCAAATATCCCTAATGTCATGAGTAAACCACAAAAATACTAATTCAGCAAAATATATTTTCATCTATGTAATAAATAAGCTATTAAGAAGTTAACCTCCTAATTTGTGTAAAATAATCTTTCATTTATGAAAAATAATGACCATTTTGATTTAACTATGGCTTAAATCACTAGACAAATATCTTAATGTAAACATCTTATATTCACAGTCAAACTGAGTCCCTCAAAAGAAAGTATCGTTTATTATTATACACTTAATTTATACTAAATTCAATACAAATTTTTTATACTTAATTTTTAAGTACATACATGATATTTTAAAACATTACCAGTCAGATCTATACAAAACATTGACATCAAAAGTCAGAGGCTGAATTTAAATTAAGAAGCCTTCACACAGCTACTCATATACCATTCTAATAAAACACAGGAGTAATTCTTAGGAAATGTTAGTCCTATAATACTGAGCGATATTTACAAGCAAACATGATCCAAACAGCACATGCAGATTCAGGGTAGGTAAACACGCGAACACGAACTGCCAGTCGCACCTGATCTCCGCGACAACAGATTATTTCTTCACAAAAAGGAGACCTATATAAAAAGAAAATGTGTTTAAAGAGAAAGTCACTGTAGACACTCCCATGTATGTATGCTGACACTCCTAGCAATGATCAGAACAATTGCCTTTCTAGATTCCTTTTGTTTGTTTTTGTTTTCCAAGGCAGGGTTTCTCTGTGTAGCTCTGGCTGTCCTGGAGCTCACTTTGTAGACCAGGCTGGCCTAGAACTCACAGAGATCTGCTGCCTCTGCCTCCTGAGTGCTGGGATTAAAGGAATGCACCCGGCTGAATTCATAAGTTTCTTCATTATGAATCCATAAAACCCTTACCGAAGACAAGTGGCGAATGCACGCCTTGCGTTTCTATACACAAAATGTATTGGAAACCCTTTAAATGTGTGGCCATCAGGTACAGCCCTCCTGATAGCATCTTGAAATTCCTCATTGCCTGCAGATATGCTTGTTGTTCGCTCAAATTCATATGACGCCAAAGCTGGTGATAAAAGATAGGAAAGCTGATCCTCCCAAACAGTAGTGAGGCCAAGATCCTGTAACAATTAAAATAGCGAAAAATATTAGCATCTTAAAATCCAATTACAGAAAAATGTACTTTCTACTGCGTTGTTTTTTCCCCAAACTTTTTCTCTGTGTAGCCCTGGTTGCTCTAGAAATCACTTTGTAGACCAGGTTGGCCTCAAATTCATCTCCCAAACACTAGGATTGCAGGCATGTGCCAACTCAAGATGAGTCTGAGTGTGTGTGTGTGTGTGTCAGAATCTAACTCTGTAGCCCTAGCTAGCCTTCAAAGATGTCCTCCAAATGACAATGATTCTCCTGCTCATGCCTCCTGAGTGCTGGGATTGCAGATATTTGTCACCACGCCTGAAATGAAGAGATTTGTGTTTGTTTTTAGATAAATTCTCGCCATGTAGCCCTGACTGGTCTGGAACTCAGAGATTTGCCTGGTTCTGCCTCCCAAGCTTTCAGGTTTTCTTTTTAAAGACAGGGTTTCTTCTACATAGCCCTTGCTGTCCCAGAATTCGCTATGTAGACCAGGCTGGCCTCCAGAGATCTGCCCACCTCAGTCTCCCAAGTGCTAGGATTAAAGGTATGTGTCATCATGCCCAGCTGAAGAGATTTTTTTTTTGCATTTTACATTTTTAAAATTGTTTTTAATTAAGCTATATATTCTTCTCCATTCCCCTCCATTCTTCTTCCCTGCCCTTCTACGCTCTCCCATGATCCCATGCTCCCAATTAACTTAGGATTTTTCTTTTACTTGTCTTTTTCTACTTCCTATGTAGATTATATCAATGTATGTCTCTCTTAGGGTTCTCTTTATTGTCAAGGTTCTCTGGGATAACACTGCTTTCACTATGTCTCATAAATTTGGGTATGCTGTGTGGTCATTTTTGTTTAATTTTAGGAAGTCTTTAATTATTTCCTTTATTTCTTCCTTGACCCATTGGTGATTCAGGTGAACACTGTTTAATTTCCGTATGTTTGTGGGCTTTCTGAAATTAGTGTTGCTATTGAATTCTAAGTCACGGTGATCCAAAAAGATACATGGGGTTATTTCAATTTTTTGTATTGAGAAGTTTTTTTAAGGTATCATAATTTCTCAGTTTACTATTAATTATTCTAGGAATGAACAGTAATAAGAATAAGAGGACGTTATTATGTTCTATTTCTTAGGAATAACTAAAAATCATTCAATACAATGATTTATCTAGCATGTATAAAGTTCAAAACTACAAAATAAATATCAATTAGACAGAATACACATAATCATCCTAATATAGAAGACATATGTCAATAAACTTTGCGATTGTATTTTATTTAAATTGCTTGGTAAGGCTTGGAGCCCTGGGTTCAATTGCTAGAACTACATAAAACTAGGTTTGAAGGTGCACACTTGTAATCTCAATACACAGGAGTTGGATGCAGGAGGATCAGTTACAGAGAAAGTCTGAGGCCAGCCTAGGGTATAAAAAACAATTCTGTCCCCCTTACCCCTTAAAAAGTTTAGTAAGACAATCTGCATAAATTCACCTACAATAGGGGACAAAGTCAATAAATCAATTGAATAAATGACCCTCAAGTATTTCCTGAACAGTGATCCTAAAAGGCACTATCTTCTACACTATAAGAGATTAAAAGGTAAAGACAAGGCTGGAAAGTTGGCTCAACACTTAAGAGCACTTGTTGCTCTTACAGAGATCCATTCCCAGCACCCACATGGCGGCTCACAATCATCTGTAACTCCAGTTCCAAGGGATCACAGCCCTTTCTGAAAGTCGTGGATACTAGGCATGCAGGCAAATACTCATACACAAAAAATAAGAAGTAAATCTAAAAAAAATTTTAAAAAGGTAAAGACAATATGCTACCTACCAGCTGACAGAAAACTTAAAACACACATTTCTATGAATGCTCAAGACAATTATGATTTCATCTGTAAACACAGTGAACTTGATATACAAACTAAGCAAAACCCTTTAGGTACAAATATCAAAAACGTCTTAGAATTCTAAATATTTTCCTTCTGTGATTACTGACCATGACATTCTCCTGTCATCCACTCAGAATTCTAGCTGTTGTAAAGGAGTCTCAAAGGCCTGAACCAACTTAACCCTTTCCCTGCACAGTCCCCTAATGGGTTACAGGTGCTACTGACTTGAGCTAAAGACCCGGATTTCAGATACAAGTCAATGGGAAATGATACCCTCATTCTGACCTTAATTTACACGTCCCTGCTTACTAACAGGTGCAGCTTAGCTATGTCAGTTCTCATACATAATACCAGAACACCACGGTGAAACCACAGGACTGTGTTGAAAACAAGCTTATAGTACAATAAAATATTGTCCTCATCTGTTCAATTACCAGGCAACATGAGAGAAGGAGAAAACAAGGAGGGACTTTCATCCGAGCCGTGTAATTAAGGAGTCTCCCCATCAGCTCCATGCTGGAAACAGTGAATGCTTTATGAGCTGATGAGCCAGGAGTATGATAGGCCAAGGCTATTGGTGATTGGGAGTCCAGGAATATAATGAACCAGTTTGCCTCTGACAGCTTTTGGAAAATAAGGAAAGTTTCTCCAAGAACAGGATTCTAAAAACACCGAAGGTACACTAGAAATACATCTTTTCTAGAAATTTTAGATTTCAGTCCCTTGTTGGCTGTGAGTCATAAATAACTTACTACTCTAAGGCTTTGGTCTCCTAACAGTTTCTTTTGATAAATGTCAAAGTGTCAAGTTTGGGCAGTGTATGTGTACACACATGTGTGCGCGTGCAATCCTGGGGACTTTGTACATGCTAACAAACACTCTACCATTGGACTACAATGCCTAGCTTAAGGTAAATTCTTAAAATATGTTGATCTCACTAGTGGTGGTGCACTGGGAGGAAGAGATGGGCTCTCTGGGTTCAAGGACAGTTTGGTCTACAGGATGAATTCCAGGCCAGTCACAGCAAGAAAGTGACATTTTGTCTCAAAATAAATAAATTAATTAATTTTAAAAAACATAAACATGCTAATTTTATCCTTTTAATCAGTGCCATCTTGTCTTTAACGCCCTTTTAAAGGATATCTACATGGCTAATAAACAAGACATCTGATCCTATTATTAAAGGAATACAAATTAAAGCTAGAATGAGGATATAATTTTATGTCAACCCACATGGAAGACAGTAAACAAGAACAGAGCTGGAGAGGTCACTCAGTAGTTATAAGTATTTGTGGTTCTTCTGGAAGACCGAGTTTCAATTCCTAGAGTTCACGTGGCAGTTTACAGCCTCCTGTTAACTCTGATGGGAATCTGATGCCTTCTTTTGATCTCTGCGCACACCTCTGATGTACATACATACATACATACATGCAGACAAAAACTGTCACATAAAATATATAAACTTTAAAAAGAAAAAAGCCTAGGGGTGGGGACAAAAGGAAATTAACAAAACTTTTAAAAATGTATTGGTTAACTGAAGAAACCATTTCACAAAGAGGAAATCCAAACAGTGACATTCAACCACAGTCTGACTGAAGAATGTGAACAAATCTCTAATTCTTCAATCTAGGAGGAAGTAATAACTTCGAAGGTTTGGTAGATTTGTTGGATTCCCAAGAAATGGAGTGAGACTGTGAGCCCCTGGACATGGGTTCTAGGATCTGAACCTGGGTCCTCTGGAACAGCAAGAAATGTTCTTAGCTACTACCCTATCTTTCCATTTGGCAATTTTTAAGTCTCACAACTATGTCCCATAATTTCCACCACAATAATTTTCATAAAAACAGGACTAGAATAATGAGTGACTACTGGTATTGAACACTTAAGGAAAAAAAAGTTGGGATAGATGGCTCAGTGGTTAAGAGGACTTATTACTCTTGCAGAAGACCAAGTCCAATTCCCAGTAACCACATGGCAGGTTGTAATTGTCCATAAATCCAGTCCCACGGGATCTAGAAAGTCGTTTTGGACTGGGCACCAGACATGCAAGTGCCACACACACATACCTACAAGAAAAATACTCATATACATAAAACAATAATTCTAGCCAGGCATGGTCGCACACATTTTTAATCCCAGCATCCAGGAGGCAGAGGCAGGTGGATCTCTGTGAGTTTGAGGCCAGCCTGGTCTACAGATCAAGTTCAAAGACAGACAATGCTACACAGAGAAATCCTGTCTTGAACGCCTCCCCCCCAAAAAAAAATTATAAAAAAATTTAAAAACAAAAGTATGAAGCTACAACTAATTTTATCGGTCACCTTTCTGTGCTCTGACACTAGAAGTCTCAGCTGCATTTCGATTTCATTGCTTGTGACTGAGGCGTCAATCGTGGATGCGCACAGAGGTGGGAAGGGAGGGAGAGACGTGGTAGCCCCTGGAGCACACACAGACTTAATTGCTTCTTCACTCATGGGTTTCCACTTGGACTCATCATTCAAATCAAATATGCAGGTCTCTACTGCATCCGAGGGTTGACAGTTCCCCAGGAACATCTGATGATTGAAAACACAACCAATTGTTCGATAGGGGTACAATGGTTTGGGCTGTTCAGCAAGTGGAGGTCCATCAGGATTAGTAGGCTTGTGGATGTACCTAAAAGACATAATTTTATACGATGAGAATTTAAAAACTACAAAGGCAATTATAATACTAAGTCACACACACACACACACACAAAAGTATGCTGTAATTACATGCCAAGACTCAAGTTTGGCCTATGCTTTTGCTCTATGCATCGGCACAATCTGATGACTTGGGAGTGTTTACTCACTTGCTCATATTGAAGAGGCCAGAGGCTGATAGTGCACAGGTGTCTCTATAGCTATCTACGTTTTTTTCCTTGTTTTTAAAGATGGGGTCTTTCCTTGAACCCAAAGTTCAGTTCTGGGTTGACTAGATGGTCTCTGCATGCCTAGGATCCTTCTGGCTCCCCACCCAACATCTGGGGATTACAGCACATGTCCACACTCGGGTTTTATGTGAGTTCTGAAGGTCTGAACTCATGCCTGCATAGCAAGCACTCCACTGACTTATCTCCCCAGCCCAGTTACTCCACCTTATCTGCATGGTAACACCTTTAGAAAAACCAACATTGGGCTGGAGAGATGGCTCAGTGATTAAGAGCTCTTCCAAAGGTCCTGAGTTCAATTCCCAGCAACCACATGGTGGCTCACAACCATCTGTAAAGAGGTCTGGCGCCCTCTTCTGGCCTTCAGGCATACACACAGACAGAATATTGTATACATAATAAATAAATATAAAAAATTAAAAAAAAAAAAGAAAGAAAAACCAACATTATGGATCCCTGAGTTCGAGGCCAGTCTGGTACAGAGTGAGTTCCACAATAACCAAGGCCACACAGAGAAACCCTGTCTCAAAATAAACAAACAAACAAACAGATGAAAAAAAAATAGAAAAGAAAAAGAAAATGTCCTATGTCTATGATGAAGATCAAGGAAGTTTATCCTGGAGAACATCATAATTAAAATAATTTAACTATATATTATTAGGTGTGACTATCCAATATATATTTCCTAATATCATGATAATAAAGAATATTTTAGAATTACATAATATTTTCTTAAAGATCAATTTACTTAGTTACATTAAGTAAAAAAGTCTGTAAATTTAGAGTACCAGCCAAACAAACGAAACTTATATAATTTCAAGATGGCTCAGTGGATAGATGCTTGCTGCCAAGCCTCTTGTCCTGAGTTTGAGCTTTAGGACCCACATGGTAGAAGAAATCAGTTCTGTACATTGTCTTCTGACCCCCAACACTTTGAATCAATAAACAAAACAAGTAAATGTAAGGCCTCGGGTTTGATCCCCAGCCCAATTACACCTGTGTTTCCTTTAATGTTTAAGAGCTTCACTATTATCATGTATGATGTCGATGGGTGAATACACACATGCGTTGGCAACACAAGTGGAGTCAGAGGACGACCGTTTGGACTCAACTCACTGGTCCTAGACGTGCATTTGACTATCCTTGTAAACTTAGTTGACTAACCTGTGCCCTGTTAAACTCTCCCAAAACGTGATGGTCCCATCAGTCCCACAAGTCATAACCCATGCGTGAGGTGCCCCCTTAGCCTTGGTCCCCACACAGACAAAAGCCTCCAGTCCATATCCAAGAAGAAGGCTGCACAGCAGGTTGGCGTGGTCTTCACAATCACCCTAGAAGGTAAAGTCAAGTAAGATTAGTATGTATCCACAGCTGCATTAAATACCTAAAAACAACAATAAAAAGTTTCAAGTTTAAGTATTAGTTAACCAATGTTAATCTGAAGTAAGGAGAAAATATGCTAATGTGAAAAGATTCTAAATTACAAGGAACATTTAAAAGATAAATAAATGGCATGAATAAGCAAGCTGAAAAATATTTCAGGAGGAAAGGTAAATAAACAAAAAATGCTCAAATTAAGCAAATGAATTCTAACAGTACATGTATATGATTTTAGGCTGAGAAAATGCTTAGAACAATTAATGATAAAATGTTTATTATTAGGATGAATTAAAGATAATTTCCCCTCTATTGTTAAGATTTTCTCTGCTATGTTACTGTCTTTGGTTTGTTTTTCATATAGGTTCTCACTACATGGCAAAAGATGGCCTTTAATTTGCAGTGATCTCTTGTCTCTGCCAGATGCTTGGGTCACTCACAGGCATGTGTCACTATGTCCATCCCTTACTATACTACTTTTACAACTTAAATATGTTATAAAACTGAGTTGGTAGAGTGAGTGAGTGCCTCACATGCACAAAGCCTGGGTTCAGTCTCTAGCACATCATAAGCAGGCCATGATGGTGCATATCTATAATCCCAGCACGCAGGAGGTGGATCAGAAGTTCATTTTAGACCACCGTATAGGCATATATTATATTTGTATATACAGATATTTTAAGTATAAAAAGATTATGGGTAATATAAAAAATAATGACCAAATGTGAAAATTAAAAATTATATATTTTCCCTTAAAATGTATATTCTGGTCCTATAGTTATAATTTCCTTCCCCATCTCACAACTTTTTTTTGCAGTATTGTAGACTGAACCCAGGGCTGCTCTCCTATTGAGCTATACCCGTATCACACTGTTTAATAGAAACCTTTAGACCCAGTATGTGTCTTTTACTAAGATTTTTGTCTTAAAAACAAAACTCAAAAATAACATTTAAAAGGCATTTAATGCAAAAGTCTACTTATAATATCAAAAATTTCAAAGCAAGCAAGGCGTGAGGACTCATGCATTTAGTCCTAGCACTGCAGAGGCAGGCAGATCTCTGAGCTCACAGTCAGCCTGATCTACAGCATGAGTTTCAGGACAGCTAGAGCTACACAGAGAAATCCTGTCTCAAAACAAAACAAACAAACAAACAAAAAATTCCATGGAATTCACATGGAAAATGTGTTCTTTGTACAATATTAAATTTAAAAAAAGACAAAATTTTATCTATATATTACTTATAAATTTTAAAAAATGGAAAAATAATATATACAATGAATAAATATAAAAGATGATAAATTTGGAATAAATTATTATTTGCATCTTTAATGACACGGTGGTAAAACAATTAAATACAATCTCTCCAAGACAGTCAGGGTTACACAGAGAAACCCTGTCTCAAAAAAAACAAAATAAAGAGCCTTGGTGTCCACTCTACCTTGCTCACTGGAGCTGATTCCCATGGCCCCGGCCACTGAGGGCAGGGACTATCTGGATGCCATGCACAGGACAGCTCTACTTTTGGCATATGCTCCCAAAGACATATGAATAGCTAAAAAAAAAAAAAAATGACACCAGAAAAGCGGAAGCAACAATTTTGCACAACAGGCTTTAGTGTGAAGTCTGAACTGTGCAACACTAGCTCTGGACTGTGGATATGATATAAGCTTTAAGTTCTTGTTGCCTTGACTTCCCTGCTATGACGGACTGTAACCTTTCTCCCCAACTTGCTTTCTGTCAGGGTATTTTAGCACAGTAACAGAAATAAAACTAAAAGGGGTGATAACTTGCATTACAAAACAACTACTTATTTAAATAAAAATGTTAAATATATATTATTCCTATTGCACTAGAAATTTTCTAAGTTTAAATATGTAAGAAGAAGCTTTAGAAACTACAGCTTGGCAATAAACATTGTCTTGAATAAATAATGTGTTTTCCAACTATTTTAAAGATGCAACCTATTCTCGGGGGAGCATTTTTGAGGCAGAGTTTCTTTGTGTAGCCTTGGCTATCCTAGGACTAGCTCTGTAGACCAGGTTGGTCTTGAACTCACAGAAACCCACCCCCCTGCAACCGCCTCTTGAGTACTGGGACTAAACAAGTTTGTCACCATCTTCTCCAATACAACCTATTTTTAAGTACAGTCAAGTTCTTTGAGTTTTAAGCCGTGGCAAGTAGTTCTACTTATAAACAACTATGGTTGAAGGCTAAAGATAGTGGGGTAGCTAATCCCATTTTGGATCTTAGCTGTTGTATATTTAGTTGATTAGAACAACTGTCATTACTGGATTTAGGGCCAACAACAAATTTTCATATGTAAGTTGGATTTTTTTGTTTTGTTTTTTGCTTTTCAAGACAGGGTCTCTCTACATAGTCCTGGCTATCCTGGAATTCACTGTGTAGACTAATCTGGCTTCGAACTCACAGCAATCCACCTGTTTCAGCCTCTTTGCGGGTATGAGCCATCACCATCTGGCTTTATAAGTCGGATTTTAATTCTATTTGGTAACTTTCATAAAACACATTTTACAACAAGAATTAGTTTGGGTTAATCAAAGGACCATGGTACCAGGAAGGAAATTTACCAATTCTAAGAAGTATAACTTAGTCAAACTTTTGTTAATTACTTGATTTTTATGACTGCTGGGTCCCTCAGGAACCTAAGAAAGGTATCTTAAGCTATCTGGTATGCACCTGATACCTTCTCCTTTTATGTCATTATGTGAATTTTAACAGATTTGACACTGATTTAATAAGTATAGTCTCATTAAATCTACCTCAAATAATTACAAAGCCAAGAGGAAGCCTTTCATGTTTATGGGATGGGAAAATCCATCTAAGCATTTTTTTAGTTCTTTTGTTACGAAGCTACATGAATCGAGTAAACATTAGTACATAAAATTCACTTGACACTTTTAGTTAAAGTTTAAATTTTTATGAGTTGCAATTGAGTTCTTTTTTTCCCCAAATACATACCAAAATTTAAGTCCTTCATTTGGAAGCCTTTAGAAATAAGGTGGGTAGAAAGCATTCATTAGCTGGGTTCTTGGTTTGGGGGTTTGGCAGTAAGGCACATACACGCCTTTAGTCCCAGTACTCGGGGGCAGAGGCAGGTGGATCTCTGTAAGTTCGAAGCTAGCCTGGTCTACAGAGCTAGTTCCAGGACAGTTGGGACTACATAGAGAAACCCTGCCTCAAAAACATTACAAAATAAAAAGGAAACCAAGAAAAACAAAAAACGAACCTTTCCAACTGACAGGTCAACCTCTTACTGAAATGTTTCCTCTGCTGTATGAACTGTCCCTGGTGACTGTACACTCTGTTTACACAACCACCAACAAAATGACTACAAAACAGCAGCAGGGGAAGAAACTGTCTGTTCCTGTTTCACTGACAGTAAATGGTAAAAGCAGTCTTACTTGCTCACTATATTAGTAACATTTTTTAGAGTTTAGAAGATTAGGAATCAGGGGGAGGGAAAGGGGAGGCGGCGATGGGGAAGAGACAGAAATCTTTAATAAATAAATAAATAAATAAAAGATTAGGAATCATCCCATACTCTAAGTTAAATTACTGAAACCATTAAAAGTTTATTTTCAGTAACTGGAGAGATGGTTCAGCAGTTAAGAGCCCTGGCTGCTAATCCAGAGGACTCCTCGCTAATGTCACTTCCAGGGGATTTGATGCCCTCTTCTGGCCTCTGTAAGTACTACATATGTGTCACTCACAGAAAAACATGCAGACAAAACACCAATACACAGTGAAGAAAAATGAATACCATGAAATCCAAGAATTTCTCTCATAATTATTGTTTATATATTTTGTTCCTTTATTTTTTGTTTTTTCGAGAAGGGTATCTCTGTGTAGTCCTGGCTGTTCTGGAACTCTGTAGACCAGGCTGGCCTTGAACTCAAAAAAAAATCTGCCTGCCTCTGCCTCCTGAGTATTGGGATTAAAGACCTGCACCACCACTACCCAGCTAAGACTTTTGCTCTTTTTTGAGATAGTCTCACTATGCAGCCTTGACTTGAGCTGGAACTTGCTATGAACACTAGGCTAACCCCATAGTTACGGAGAACCACCTGCCTCTGCCTTTGCACACCACCATATCCAGCTGTTTCATGTTTCAGACAAGATCTCACTATATAGCACAGACAGGCCTGGAGCTTTCTGTTGTCCAGACTGGCCTTGAAACCATCTTTTGCCCTAGCTTTCCAAGTGCTAGAATCACAGGCATGAGCAACACATTCAGCTCTATGACTTTGTTTCTGACAAGTAGGTCTGAGACTCTATCTTAAAGGAATAATATTCTATTAAATATGAAATTTCACCGGGTGGCAGTGGCACATGCCTTTAACCCCAGCACTCGGGAAACAGAGGCAGGCGGATTGCTGTGAGTTTGAGACCAGCATGGACTACAAGAGCTAGTTACAGGGCTGGAGAGATGGCTCAGCGGTTAAGAGCATTGCCCGCTCTTCCACAGGTCCTGAGTTCAATTCCCAGCAACCACATGGTGGCTCACAACCATCTGTAATGGGGTCTGGTGCCCTCTTCTGGCCTGCAGGCATACATGTAGACAGAATATTGTATACATAATAAATAAATATTTAAAAAAAAAAAAAGAGCTAGTTACAGGACAGGTTCCAAAGCTATAGAGAAACCCTGTCTAAAAAAAAAAAAAAAAACAAAAATAAATAATAAAAATGGAATTTCATACAAAAATAAAGATGGTAGGTTTTAAGTGCTGATATGTAAATGTTACAGATAATAGTGGTAAGATTTGACTTGTTCAAGTTGGTAATATATATGTTTTCAAGTAAATTTTTTTTTTTTTTTTTTTTGTTTTTTCGAGACAGGGTTTCTCTGTGTGTTTTCAAGTAAATTATAAGCATGCTATAAATCAAAAATACTTATGATAATGGATATTGCTATTTGTTATGTGTATATGATACCTTGTTCCTACAGAGAAAAGCCAGCAGAGTGCACCACTGCTCCTGTTTGCCACCTCCTCCAATAACAGGGGCTCGTTCATAACCAAGAACATTGACAAATCGTGCTGCTTGCCTCGGAGTATCCAGAAGCCGTCCAGCTCGAAGTGGTTTAACATAGGAACAGACCGGTCTATTTATCCCATTTTCATCCTGGAGGAAGAAGGGGAAAATATGATCTGCAACAAGTTAGTCATCCCAAGAGTCACATCTTTCTATTACACTGTAGATAATTCAGGGCACCATTTATTGAGTGTATAACTTGCATCCAGCACTAGGCTACTAAGAGTTAACTTCTTTTAAATTCCTATAAAGTCTATTTTATACTCACTTCATAAATGAAACAAACTATAGCCATTATACAATGGACCCAGGATTTTGTTTTCTTTTGTAAGACAGGAGTGTAGTCCTAGCTATCCTGGAACTCGCTCTGCAGACCAGGCTGGCCTCAAACTCAGAGATCACCTGCCTTTGCCACCTGAGTGTTGGGATCAAAGGTGTGCCCTGAAGCCAGGGTTTTTAAGGGCTAAGCTGTCTGACTCCAAAGCTTGTGCTACTCAAGAACTGCTCTGAAAAAGGCTCAGCAGGCAGCTAAGGGAAGGAAAGGGTTCTAAATCTAGGATGAAATAAGCTTTCATATTAACACACAGAACTTTATACCCAGGCAAAATGTTAAAATATTTTTGACTGATTGACAATAGTCAACTGAAAATAGAATTCGAAAAACATTTTAGGAAAATACAATATATTCTAAACACAGGATGCATTTTATGATTTTATATTTTATTTTATTTTTGAGACAGGGTCTCATCATGTGCAGCCTTGGCTGGCCTGGAACTGTGACCTAGCTGGCTTTGAACTCACCTCCCTGCTTCTGCCTCTCCAGTGTCAAAGGTGTGAGCTACCATGCCCCGAAGGGGATGCATGTTAACAATTATGCTGAATAACTACTAAGAATGCATATTTTTAGAATTGGTACTAACAAAGCCCACATTTTTCTTAACATTGTGATTACTAATATAGCAAAGTGAAGGAGCCACTTGTGATTAAATTTTGGAAATGATATAAAATGCTCTGACAGAATAAAACCTAACTCAGGCAATAGAAACACTACTGCTCAATTTTTAGAAACACTGATGGACTTGTACATGGCACCTGCCCAATACTATCCCATACCTTAGCAAGGACAATACTATGTAAAGTTAGAAACAATTTTTCTCCGTCACACCAATGCTAACTTAGGACTCTTATCGCCAAGCTCCCTATCTAGAAATGAAGCTATCTGTAGTCTGTTCCAATGATTAGGGAATGTAATGTACACGACTGCTGTCATCTGAAACAAAAATGTCAAAATAATCTAACACTGCACAGAAACGACATACATAAACTATTTGATCTGTTCCTCAGAAGTTATACGTATATACTAAGTAGAAACTATACTTTAGACTAGTAAAATGGAGCATGTAATATTTCTTGAATGGGCAGCCACTGCTCCAGTGTGCCACCTGACAGCAAAGGTAAACAACTAATATCCCTTAGTGTATTGTTGCTAAGGCACAACAGGGCAGCTCAGCTGTACTAACGGCACTTTCAACCTAACAACATGTTCATAAACGTGAACCTGCGCTGTGAGCCAAGGTGCATCTGCAGCTGAAATTGTGCAATTAAATACTGGTTTGGATATATTGGTTATACACAATTAATGCACTTAGTATTGTTTTTAAAATATTATTTTTACTACTGTGTATATGTAATGTGTGACCACGTGCACAGGTCAGAGAACAACTCTGTGGAGCTGGTCTTCCTTTTTACCTTTATATTCATATGAATTCTGGATTGAATTCAGGCTGCCAGTTTGCACAGCAAGTGCTTACTCCCTGAGCCATCTCGATGGCATTTAGTACTGTTTTTCACTTTGCTTTGTAAAAACTAAGAAACACAATGTACGCCTGTTCTGAACAGAGAGTCCCTGTTCTGTCTTAGGGCTATATTTGGATATAAGTCATAAAGTGTCCAAATTTTTAATCAATATTTTTTTTTTTTTTTTTTTTTTTGATTTTCGAGACAGGGTTTCTCCGTAGCTTTTGGTTCCTGTCCTGGAACTAGCTCTTGTATACCAGGCTGGCCTCGAACTCACAGAGATCCTTTTTAATCAATATTAAGTATCATAAAAAGGTATATTTCAAGTAAAAAAAAATGTGTTATGCCATTGAGGTAGCCAATAAAAGATAACTATTTTAGAAATCAACATTCATCTGGGGAATGTAAATAAATATTTTTCAAATGCAAATTAGATATTTACATCAAACACAAGCATGAAACTTTTCTAACAATTTACAAACCTGTGCAAAAATCTTTACCAGCCGTGAATTGTGTGAAGGTCGAATTTGCAAATACTCTCTCCACCACTGCTTAGCATACACCAGAAATAATCGTTCTTTCTCTGCAGTTTTCTGACGTTCTAAGGCAAGCTTGATTAAAAAAAAATTAAATTTTTATAAAATTTCCTAAATTACTAAAACAATCTACTGTTCTCCATTCCTGCTACCATATATGAAACTGAACTATCATTGACTTACTTGCAAACAAATCAACATTTCCTAGATTTTATAACCACTTCAATAATCCATACAATACTCTCTAACTGGCCCTTTCCTGCACAGAACGCATATTTTTAAATAATAAAGCAGGTCAATCACCTTCTACCATACTGAAAACTACCTGCCTGAGTATTCTGACTCTGGCCTGGTCTCATTTTCTCTTTCCCATCCATACAAGCCTTTGCTCAAGGCTGTTGCTCCCACTATCTGGAACATATAGGCCCAACTTTGGAATTACTAATACTAATGTTTCTTGCAGTTTAGATATCACTCTAGCACAGTCACATGACCTAAATTGGCCTCCAGTAGCTATTCTAACACATATTACCCTGCAGTAATTTTTCCACTTAGCACTTTCTGTCTCTGGCATTTTGTTTACTATCTCCAGACTCCTAAAAATAAGATGTTGTAAATCTGCAATTCATAAACCCCTGGGTTCAATTCCCAGCTCAAAAACAACAACAAACTTTGAACCCAGACCCTCCTGTTTCAAAACAGCAACAACAACAAAAAAACCAACAAAATAAATTATAATTAAAGTAATTATTTGAGCCAGGTGATGGTGACATGCACCTTTAATTCCAGCACTTGAGAGGCAGAGGCACAGGCAGGGGGATAGATCTCTGAGTTCAAGAACAGCCTGGTCTACAGAGTGCATTCCAGGACAGCCAGGGGTACACAGAGAAATCCACTCTTAAAAAAATAATGTTTATATATTATATAGCTTTATAAATAATATATACACACATACATGATAACAAAAATTTAAAGGGCTATGGCTATGATTCAGTGGGAGAGGGCTTGTCTACCATGCATAGGGCCCTCAATTCAATCTCTAGGATAGTAAATAGGTAAATTACATTTCTTAAAGTAAAAGAGCAATAAAATTAAGAAATAACAAGACTAAAAAATAGCAAGACTCTATTGCCTAGCATGTTGCAAGGCCCTGGGGTTTGATGCCCAGTATAGAGGGGATGGGTGGAAGAAAGGAAGGGGAAAGGAGAGGGAGAAAGGCTAGACCATTCAAGACTAAAGTATTGGAAAGTATAAAGTACTAAAATACTAAAGTTAAGGAGAATAATTCCACAAGACAGCAGAGAGCCACAGTTGCAACCGAATCACAACAAAACAGAAATCCAACTCAAGGGACTGAGAAATCTGTTGATCTTATAAAACCCAGGAAGTAACTATTGAGACCTGACAGTGGAGTTAGGAGAGTATCAGGGCTGTGCAGCCTCGCCTCTAATCAGCACATGTATGAATGATTGTCCAACGGGTCTCTGTACAAAGCAAAGCCCACGGAGGCTATCTCTCGCTGGGCAAAGACCAGTGGACTGTGGGGCAGCTCAGGACATTGCTGGATTCACACGGCTTGCAGGCTCTTTTCTCTTTCATTGTGTTGTTGATTCTTTTGGCAGTTTTCAGTTTCACTCTGTCAGTCACACATGGGACAGCTGTAATTTTCCCTGATAACTCCATTCTTTCTCAAATGTTTCCCTAAGATTCAGCAGAGGGTTACTGCTTCTAAAATTCTGGTATGGGAGGTCCTTCTGTCTATGTGTTACTTTTATTGGTTAATGAATAAAGAAACTATCTTGGCCTGTGATAGGGCAAAAGACCAGAGCTAGGCAGGGAAAACTAAAGTGAATACTGGGAGAAAGGAGGCAGGGTCAGAGAGATGCCATGGAGCTGCAGCCAGAATTAGACATGCTCGAACTTTGCCAGTAAGCCATTGCCATGTGGCAATACACAGATTAATGGAGATGGGTTAATTAATATGTAAGAGTTAACCAATAAGAAGCTAGAGCTAATGGGCCAAGCAGTGATTTAAATAACATGGTTTCTGTGTGATTATTTTAGGGCTGAGCAGCCAGGGACAAATAAGCGGCCCCTCCAACAAAATTCGTTATATTGAATTACTAACTGCAATTCCTACCCCTGAGAACTTTTCTGACTCAATAGAGAAAAAAAGTGCAATCAAAATATAGGATGAATATATCCACATTAACCATACACAGGAGTGAGAGAGAAAGAGTGTGTGTGTGTGTGTGTGTGTGTGTGTGTGTGTGTATAAAGTAGTGGAAGAAGAATAGTATGGTGGGATATGAAAGGAGTGCCTTATCAAAGTCTGCCTCTTACAGAGACTGAGATAAACAGGACCCTCTTATAGGTCAAGTAACTATATAAAAGCAAATCTTTTTTCTTTCTTTTTTTGAGATAGGATTTCTCTGTGTAGCCTTGGCTATCCTGGAACTTGAACTCAGAGATCCACCTGCCTCTGCTTCTTGAGTGATGGGATTAAAGACACGTGCTACCATGCACAATATAAAGTCATATCTCAGATAAGAAAACAATTGCTCGGATTTAAATATTGTTCTTCTTAGAGCAATGTACCCATGGCTCTAACCTTTTAACTCTGTAACTGAAGGAAGCTGTCAGCTGGCATAAGTGCTGCAAAAGCAGGACGTTCCTACCTCAAAATTAAGTTAAGCTTGCAAAAAGCTGAACTCTTAAGTCAAGAATGAGATTATGCAGGGGATGAGAAAATGTGTTTGGGGAAGCATAAAGGGGAACAAGGGGGTTCTTATGATGACTACGATGTAATTCTTAGTAGTCAAAAATAGAAACTAATAATAAAACTGTTTATGTAAGCCTGGTGAAACAAGCTGTTAAAGTATAAATAAAAACAGCACAAAGTATTCAGGGCCACTCGTGTGCAGTTCATCTGGTGATCAAATTTTTCCTTGCACCCCTTCCCATTTCAGGACCTGAACTTGAGCCAAGGCTGGGTTCCAGCAAGAGAGAAAGTCTCCAAGTGTTCTACAGAGGATTACACAGAAACCAAGCTCTCCGGAAATGTCTATGAAACGAGGGAGGCTCAGCAGGCAAAGGTATCTACCCACAAAAGCCTAATAACCTCAGCTTGATGCCTGGGGTACACATGGTGGAATGGTGGCACCCACGCCTCAAAGTTATACAATAGCACAGCACACATATACCCACCCACCCCCAAAGCACAGAACACACAAGCAAATGCAATAAAACTTTTTAAAATACCGCCCCACGATGCTCCTCCTATGTCCTTCAACTTTGTGTCTCTCTCCCATCACACTTAAGGTCCTACAGTTTGATCAACCCGGGGCCTCGTATATGCTTAGCAAACACTACTACTGCTTCACCAGTCCAAGCTTTAAAATTCTTTTCCCATTCCTTTCGGCAAAGTTTTAGTACAAATCTAAACAGGAATGTTATATATTTTTTTTTCTAAAAAAAGAAATAGTTTTTAGAGTAAATATTTCCTACAACTAAAGCAAATGTACAAAGAAGAAAAACTGGCTTACCTGTGTGTTCACTACTTCTTGAGATAGTGTTTGGTTGAGTGGTGGGTACATTTCAAGTTTTATATTTAAAATTCCCACAGAAACTTTTGATTCTGTGCCTATAAATACAAATAAATATTTAAAATTCTACTTAAAAACTTTATTTAAAATATAGAACTTTCAAGACTATACCAAAATACTTTAGGAGTAAGGTGTTTTATCACCTAAGTAGAGAGGTAATACTCAACATTACACTCTTAATAGTCATATTAAAAATGAATCAAAATTCTTAAAATGATTTTTACTTTTTACTAAAGCATGTACTTTAACATTAAATACATTCTTGGCTTTCTAAAAGCACTTTAAGGAACTTTTCTGACCTCATAAATTTGGAATTCTTAAATTTATATCTTTAAGTACATAATTCTAACTAGACATTACATTAAGTACAAAACAAAAGCAATTGTTAAGAACCTGTTCTGTCTCAATGAAAATCAGAATGCATTCATACCTTTTATTATATACAGTAATTCCATCTATCATTTCTTATCACATCATGATTTCAACCCATGATTTTATATAATGTACAACCTCTGCCTTGTATTATTCATTGTTACTGACAATGAACAAGTTATCACCTTTCAAATGTTACCTCTCCACTGTAATAACCATTGATATGAAGGTGGCACGATGGTATAGCCAATAATCGTAGCATGAGGCAGGCCAACTGTTCTATATAGGGAACTCAAGGACAACCTAGGATACACTGTGAGATTCCATCCACAAACAAAAACAAAATAACCGGTAACCTCCCCGCAAGAACCACTGTAGTGAGGGTGATGTACTGTACTCTGGAGCACAGACAAAAGAAGCTTATGCAAACATATTTATGTGTTTAAAAAAATCCTGTTTTTTTAAACCTCATATTTATTTATCAAAAAAAAATGTTGAACCTCCAAAATTTCTATTCATTTTCCAATGGAAAAAAAAATTCCTTAGGATAAGCCAGACTGACTCTGAAGAACTATGGTGGCATTATTCTTCCTGATTATTCCCTAAGAAAACTCAGTACTGAAATTCTCATGGAGGCCTGTTTTAAGGTCTCCCCCCGTAAAGCCCTTCACATGACATAAAATGTATTTACAGACAATCAGTATTTATAAAAAGGTGAGAGTGCAATAATCATCATACCTACACCCATAAGTTCCACGGTCAGACTGGTCACTCCATTTTCTGAGCCCAAAACTGATCTCCATTCCAGAAAATAGGAAGCCACTAGCGTGGTCTCACCAAATATGTCTGTTTTGATCAGCACCATATGAATTGGATCACTTATCGATAACATTGTTGTTGAATCAGCCATTCTAGTTCCATCACCTAGCAACACAAACCAAAGAAAAAAATACACTATATTACATATTACTTAGGAACACAGAATCATTTCACAAGCTGAGGATGTAGCTAAGTGGTAGTGATTGCCTAGCACGCTCAAGGCCTTGAATTCCATACTCAGCACCAAGTGTACATGTGTGCACACAAGAGCACTCAGGTACTCACACACACACACACACACACACACACACACACTTTTACTGAAAAGTATACCAAATAATCTTACATACAATGAAATAATTTGGTGATATCTCTGAAAGTATGCCAGGATCGGGGGAAAATACCATGCCATTTCTGTGACTAATGTTTGACAGGACTGACAGAATAGGACGAGTTATTTAGAAGTTATTTAGTTATGTTACAGACAGTGCTTTCTACCCATGAAAAGTCTATTCTTCAAAAGAATGTATTATATTACATGGCACTACAGAAGAAAAGGCCATCAGCTAGGTGAGGTGGCACACACCTTCATTCCCAGCACTCTGGAAGTAGAGGTGAGAGAATCTGTGAGTTCAAGACCAGCCAGTGCTACACAGTGAGATCCATCTCAAAAAAATACATACACACAGGGCTGGAGAGATGACTCAGAGGTTAAGAGCACTGGCTGCTCTTCCAGAGGTCCTGAGTTCAATTCCCAGCAACCACATGGTGGCTCACGACCATCTAAGATGAAATCTGGCGCCCTCTTCTGGTGTGCAGGCATACATGCAGGCAGAATGCTGTATACATAATAAATAAATAAATAAATCTTAAACAAAAAAACAAAACAAAACAAACACATACACACCAAAAAGAGAAACCTAAAAATCCAGGGGACTGGGCAGATGGCTCAGTGGCTTAAAGCACTTGCTTTTGCAAAGGATATTTGTTCAATTCTCAGTGCGGACATGGTAGCTCACAACTCTCTGCAGTTCCGGGGAATCTCATGTCCTCTCCTAGCATCTGTAGGCACTGCACATTGGGCACAAACATACATACATGCAGGCACAACAACTACTCACATAAAAATAAGTATTAAAATAAACACATATGTCATCATTAATCCTCAAATTACTTCATTCTTCAACTCCAGAAATTACTACATCTTTAAAAGGCATTAAATTATTTAGGCAGACTTCTGCAATTTTGATTGCTTTATGACTTTAGGTTGATGAGTAAAATATATCTAATACTTTGTATAAACTTTGACTTTTTTTTTAAAGATTTATTTGTATGTACTATGTATGCAGTGTTCTGCCTGCAGGCCAGAAGAGGGCACCAGATCTCATTACAGATGGTTGTGAGACCATGTGGTTGCTGGGAACTGAATTCAGGACCTCTGGAAAAGCGGCAATGCTCTTAACCTCTGAGCCATCTCTCCAGTCCAACTTTGACTTTCTTTATGTTTTGTGTTTTTGAGACATGGTCTCACTATTGTAGCCCAGGCTGACCTCCAACTTGAAATCCTCCTGACTGAGCTCACCCTGCTGCTTAAAACTCCCAAGTGTTAGGAGATTATAAACATGAACTACCACAACCAGATTCAAACTTTAAATTACAAAACTAGTGTGGAGACACACACTTGCAAGTCCAGTACTTGAAGGTACAAAAGACTATGTACATGACACATACGAGCAATTAACTTAAACCAAAAACTAGAGATACTTATCTATCATAATCAATCTCTCTTCTCCCCCACCCCACAAGGTCTGTCTCGCTATGGAACGCATTGATCTAACTGTCCCTGTGCTGAGAGCTGGGATTAAAAGTTGAGCCATCAGGCCGGGTTGACAATCTCTCTATAGCAGAAGCCATTGCAGTTGTTCTGCAATAAAAAGCAAACAAATGTAGCTAGGTATCTTTACAGTTTCTTACCTAAACTTTCTCTGTGAACTTCAAGCAAAAAGCCATCATGGAAATCAGGTTCACAAGCACATGGAACAGGTTTTGAACGAAAGCGCTGGTTCCGATAATGTAAACATAAAGTAAAAGTTGAACAAACTTGTCCTGGTAAAGGCTCCGGTTCTTGCAGATGTTCCAAGAAAGCTTTTCCACCCAAAACCTGAAGGTAAAGATACCTCCGTGTTGGATCAATATTAGCTGCAAAGTGTAGCAACATATGAGGAAACTGCCAATAACTGAATGAATGTGATCAAGACATTAGAAACACGTGACAGAAATAAAGACTTTGACATAAATAAATCGCCAAATTTACGATGTAGCAGAATCATTTGTGTTATGGTAAGGAGAAATCTATGATATTCTTTACTGAGTTTATAGTTTCGATATGACTAAGAGAATCAAAGCCAAGGTCAGGTGTATCTTTGCTTTTTAGCTGTTTATTAAGCATATAATCACCTCCACAAACTGAGATCATTATCAGCTTAGTAACTATATTTGTCAAATAATTATTTCACCACTAAAAAAGCAAGCACATATAGTCTTCATTCTTTGTTTTTGGGATAGGGTCTCTCTGTGTATCCCTGACTGTCCTGAAACTCACTATATACACCTGGCCTCAAACTCACAGATATCCACCTGCCTCTGCCTCCCAAATGCTGGAATTGGTATACTACCAGTTCTTATAAAATGTATCATTAAGACATAAGAAATCAATGTTCCTTATTTTGGTTCAACAGTACTGTATAGTATATCATATACTTTATACAAAATGGTATCTAAGTTTTAGGTAAACTAAGTACTTCATTTTGAAAAGAAAAACTTGAAACCAAATGCCAAACACTACATACCCATTACCAACCACAACCAAGTTTATGTTAAAAATATTTATGTATATACATACTTTTTTTTAATGTTGATTGCTTATCAAAAGCAACTGTTTGCTTTGGAGAAGAGAGTTCTTGATCAACACTCTCCTAGAAAAGCAAAGAAAAATACAAATTAGAAAATAAGAATTCTGGTTAAGAAAATGGCAGTGGCAGAACAAAACACCATAGGATCAGGCTCCTTCATAAAGAAGAACAAGAGATTAGATCACACTGCCTCCAAAAGTAAAACCATACAGACTGGAAACAAATCAAAGCCTTTTTTCCCCTAGCCTAATTAAAATTAAAATAGCTGCATAAGGGGCTGGAGAGATGACTCAGAGGTTAAGAGCACTGGCTGTCCGTCCAGAAGTCCCGAGTTCAATTCTCAGCAACCATATTTGGCTCTCAACCATCTATAATGAGATCTGGTGCTTTCTTCTGCAGAACACTGTATACATAATAAATAAATTTTAAAAAATAGCTGCATAAAAGAGATCTAAATGGTAAAAGTCTAAAATGAAAGAATTCAATTGTCTTAATTTAAATCTTGCCATTCACAATTTTCTTTTAAAGAGTTTTTGTTGTAGTTTTGCGAGTGTTTTTTTTCTTTATAGCTCTGGCTTTCCTGCGGGGTCTCTATGAAGATCAGACTGGCCTCCAGCTGACAGAGATCTGTCTACCTCCTGAGTGATGGAGCTAATAAAGGTGTGCATCACCAAGCCTGGCCTTAAAATCAAACCGTTACCTTAAACAAGGCTAAACTTCCTTTAAATCCTATATAACATTTGGCTTCCAAGAACAGAGGCATGCACCATTTCTCCCAGCACTTAGGAGACAGAGGTTAAGTGGATCCCTGAGTTCAAGGCCAACCTTGTCTACTTAGTAAGTTCCAGGACAGTCAGAGTTATATAGTGAGACAATATCTCAAAAAAAAAAAAAAAAAAAAAAAAAAAGAAGGGGGCTGGAGAGATGGCTCAGAGGTTAAGAGCATTGCCTGCTCTTCCAGAGGTCCTGAGTTCAATTCCCAGCAACCACATGGTGGCTCACAACCATCTGTAATGGGGTCTGGTGCCCTCTTCTGGCCTGCAGGCATACACACAGACAGAATATTGAATATTGTATAAGTATACATAATAAATAAATAAATTAAAAAAAAGAAAATAATAATCCAAAAACATTCCACAAGGAATTGATTTTTTAAAAAGCAGCATTCGGCCACCTGATGGCGGTACATACCTTTAATTCCAGGACTTGGAAGGCAGAGGCAGGCAGCTCTCCCTGTTCAAGGCCAGCCTGGTCTACAGAGCAAGTTCAAAGACAGCCAGAATTACAGAGAAACCTTGTCTTGAAAAAACAAAACAAAAACAAACAAAAATATAAAAAGTAACATTCATGAAGCAGAGGCTGTTAATAGGTCAGTTTTTATAACAAACCTCAAAACCCAAAAGATGACAGTGTATTAATGTACCCAATTCTCTCGGGTATGAGTCCATCCTATTTATAATAGGATATTATTCCTGTATTGAGGCCACAGTTTCTCATTATTGCCTCATTTTCAAAAATAAGGCCTACTTACTGAGTGCACCAGGATACATCCCACTACTGACCTACTTGTACAGAGATTTGAGGGGTTTATGTAGTCAGTTCTTTTCTTAAGAAATTTTCTAAGTGTATCTGTTTTAAAAACAGAACTACCTGAATAAATGACAGATCCACAGAGTAACAAGAGGAGTTTCTGCCACTTCAGAGAAAGGAAGATGTGTACACCTCCCATCCCATCAGCACTATCTGCCAACTCATGGTGGGGCCCACTTAAAACCTTAGAAAAGGAGCTGGGCTGTCAAGGCACACGCCTCTAATTCCAGCAGTCAGGATCTGAGTTCAAGGCTAGCCTGGTCTACATAGCAAATTTCAGGATAGCTAGGGTTACACAAAGAAATTCTGCCTGGAAAAACAAAAAGCAACAACAAAACACCCAAAGAAAGAATATTACAGGAGCTGACTCAGTGGTTTAGAGCCCTGGTTGCTCTCACAGAGGACCTGCGTTCAATTCCTAACACCCTGAGGGTGGTTCACCCCATTTCTGTAAAGCCCTCTCAGACCACCGTGGACACCAGGCAGGCAAGTGGTACAAACTCACATGTGGGAAAAACCACACAAGTCTTTTTTAAAAACTAAGAAAACTGGAAGGGTAGTGGTAGCGTATGCCTTTTATCCAACACACGGAGGGAGGCAGACGCCAGACTGGTCTACAGATTGAGTTCCAGGGCCTTTTATCCAACACACGGAGGGAGGCAGACGCCAGACTGGTCTACAGATCGAGTTCCAGGACGGCCAGGGCTACACAGATAAACCCTGGCTCGAAAAACAAAACCAAAAATAACCCTGAGAAAAATGGCTATTACTAGAGAGAATGAACTTACAGTACTTTTACAAAAGAAGAGCCCCAAGTATGGGCCCTTATAAGCGAATATTAATACTTTCAATGTGTTTGCCTAGAAAACTACTCACAGGCACAAAGTTAAGTTCTTTCATCACATCATCAATGATTCCTCGACGTCTAAGAGCTTTGATCAGATCTTCTGTTGATAAATGTTGTTGATCAGGTGCCAATTCTTCTCGTATAGTCTCGGCAAGAATTTCTCTGATTCTGCCATGGACATCCATCTGTGGAGAGAACACACATTACAATTTACAGCATTATAAAGCAGTTAAATACGCTTCTAGAGTTTGAGGCTTCTAAAACTACCGGCAAATGCCAATAAAAGCAAGCTTTTAAGATGTGAAATATTAGAAGCAATTCTGAACCGGTTATAAACTAACTTTATTGCTGGTTGCCCACAAATAATTCTTTAGAAAAGGAATGGAGATTCAGAAGCAAAAGAACACAAACCTGGAAGGAGGCAGAACCGGAAGCGACCGCTTATTCAACTTGCAACTCTAAACTCATTTGCCACTCTGTTTCCTTGCCTGGACGATGGAAAAGCGAGACTGTCTAGAGGATTCGACAAAAGAAGCTAGCGACTCGGCACACAGCCTGGCGCACGAACGCACCATAAAGAGGCTTTATTACTTCAGCTTACGGGCAGCCGCCAAGCGCCGCTGGCAGAAACTCGCGCTTCTCTCTCCCCGCAGCCCCGTTCTCTGTCACTCGTTTGAGTGCCCTGTCTCCCAGCTTCTAATCGCAGAGTAGGGGGTTCCTGCCTTAAAGTAACCCTGACTTCTCGCCTCTCCACGAATTTGAGGAAACCACCAGCGATCGCCTCCGTCCACAAGCCGGCTGCAGAGCCCTCAGCGCTCCCTGCGCGTCTCCCACCCGGCAGATGCTGGCCCGCCCCGGCCGGGTCCACTGCCCTTGCTCGGGTCCCCACCGAGCTCCGGAACCGAGCTCGGGGCCGATCCGCCCGTGCTCCTCACCTTGCTCAGCTGCTGGTGGATGAGCTGCTTCAGCTCCGAGGCTTTCTCCGGAGGCAGCGACATGCCGACTCTGGCGCCTCGCGGCCGCCTCAGACGATGCAAGCGCGGAGCCCGTAGTCCCGAACACTCAGCATCAGTGGCGGGAGGAGCACAAAGCGGCGCGGCGGCGCGATCGCGTCAGACCGGGCAGGGCGGGAACCCGGCTGCCGCGGCGGCACAACGAACTGTTTTCAAACGGTGCGGACTGACAGACGCCGGGGCTGTCCTCCGAGCTGCCTGATCGGCGCAGTCCACCGCGCCACCGCCTCAGGGATTTCCCGCCCCCACGCGCGGTCCCCACGTCCTCGTGTGTCGGTCCCCCACCTGAGGCCCGGGAAAGGCAGTCGGCCACGCGCTGGAGGCCTCTTTCCGCGCTACGCTCAGGCAGAGCGCCGGCCGCCCGAAGGACCCGAAGGACCCCGGCAGGTCACGTGTTCCGCCTCCTGCGCTCCGGTCTGTGCTCGTGCTCCTGCTATTTTTCCGCCCGTTGTAATCATGTTCGTTCCCTGCGGGGAGTCGGTCCCCGACCTAACGAACTTCACACTCCTGATGGTGAGTCTCCACTTGAGTTTGGCGCTGTCGCCATCCCGACCCGGAAAACGCCACCTGGTTTTAGGAGAACCGGGCTCTTGTTGCTGCTTCTGGAGGTTGTCGCTGTCAGCGCCACCAAAACTAGCCTGCTTGCTGTAGCGTTCGTTGCCTGTCGACTGTAATGTTTGTAGATTGCAGATGCGTGGCACATAAGTAGCGTGGGGGAAAATCCTTAGGTTTTATCCATGAAAGTCTCTTTTTCAGGTAGATTGGGTCAGTACTGATCTAGGCCATCAATTGCAGTTACTACCTTAGCTTATGGGCAGTTGTAGACTTTGTCCTGGTTTAGTCATTTTTTGATACGCATTCTGTTACAGTGACTGTTAGAAGAGATGCTTGTCATCAAAGTTTACAATGTAGTTAGAAACACATGTACATCAGTAAAAGCAATAAATAAGAAGACGAAAGGTTGTAAAAAGATACAGAAATGAGATCATGGACCGGAGGAAGGCCAGGAGTGCTTTGAACAAGTTTGTATTCCCAGCACTCCAAGACTGAGCCTGGAAGGCATCTACAGAACATCCTGAAGGAGGTTGACCTTTCCTGAATAAATAAACCAACCAGGACAACAAAAAATGAGGGTTAAGGAGCTAGAGAAATGGCTCGCTTATTAGAAGCTGTAGGGTTCTTGCAGAGAATGGAGTTCAGTTACAGGCTCACAGTGGCGTATAACTGCAACTCTAGGGGCCCTGACACTCTTGGGGCTCCCTCGGGTTGCTGAGCTCACATGTGTATGTACTCACAGACGCATCATTTAAAAATGTTTTTAAATTTTGAAACGTTGACAGGAGAAACACAAGGGGCTTTTGATCTCTTAGACAAATTGGTGGCCAAAAAGATGAGGCTAGGAGTGCCCTGAGAAATGGATGCCTTTTAGGCAAAACCAAAGCACATATGCCTAGAAAACTGCAAAGAATTTAGAGTGCTACGTGGAGAGAGTAGGCCTGAGGCCCAGTGACCTAGATGGGACCAGAGGAGAATGTAGTGTTTGCTATAAAAGGAGAGACAGAGATCTCTTATGTTTCAAGCAGGTAAGTCTTTACAAAGTGTTCGTTTGGGAGTGGCACCATTAGTAGGTGCTCAAGGGGGCAAGCAAGTTACTAACGAAATGGTGAAGAATGCTGTTTGCTGGGTGGTCACATAACTGGGAGAAGTGGAGATAGAGTAGGGGTCCTCAACCTGTGGGTCAAGTCCCACCCCTTTTTGGTGTTGAACTGCCCATAAGGGCTTAAGATTATCTGAAAACACAGATGTTTATGTGACAATTCATAAACAGTAACAAAATTCCAAAGTAGCAGTGAAAATGATTGTAAGCCACAACATGAGGAATGGGGTAGAAGGGGGCAGCATAGGAGGGTTGAGAACCACTGAGGTAGGGCATATGTGTTCATGTATTGGAGACAAAGTTCCTGCCTACTCTGTAGTGGACCACTGCGAGAGCATTTTAGCTTTCTAGAGGCCTGAGAAGTGGTGTGGCAATGAAGGTACTATGGCATCAAAAGTACACTTTTTTTTTTTTAATTTTAAGAATTCCTATAAGGGTGGTAGTGGCACAAGCCTTTAATCTCAGCATTCAGAAGGCAGATCTCTGAGTTCACGGTCAGCCTGATTAATGTGTTGCATTCCAGGGCTACCCAGAGAGATCCTGTCTCAAAAAATGAAAGAAAATTGTTTTGAAAATAAAGGGGGGAGGGGCTGGAGAGATGGCTCAGTGTTTAAGAGCGCTAGCTACTCTTCTAGAGGACCTGGGTTCAATTCCCAGCACACACATGGCAGCTCACAAATGCCTGTGATTCTAGTTACAGAGGATGTGACTCCGGTGGCAAAACATCAATGCTCATAAAATTAAAAATAAATTTTGCAAGCCGGGCAGTGGTGGCGCATGCCTTTAATCCCAGCACTCGGGAGGCAGAGGCAGGTGAATCTCTCTGAGTTCGAGGCCAGCCTGGTCTACAAGAGCTAGTTCCAGGACAGGAACCAAAAGCTATGGAGAAACACTGTCTCGAAAATCAAAAAAAAAAAAATGCAAAGGAATCAAAGTACTGTCGTATGTTTATATACCAGTGGGCATAATCCAGTAGTATAATAAGACTGATGGTTTTACCCAAAAGTAGCAAAATCCTTGGGGAAATTACAGGAAGTAACCAGAAGTCTGGGTCAAAGAGAGAGTGGAAAAGTAGCCAGGGAAGACTGCCATTCAAAAGAAGGTGTTCCTTGCCTTGGGACACGTACATAGACTGTTATCTATGTTTAAAAATATAACAAACAGCTTCAGGAGATGGCTCAGTGAGAGCTCTTATAGCTCAATCTTGAGGACCTAGCATTACTGGCACTCACATAAAAACTGTGGCTTTGTTGGCCTGTAACCCCAGCACCATGGAGGGCGGAGATAGAAGGAGCACTGAGTCTTCCTGGTCACCAGCCTAGCTCTAGGTTCACTCAGAGATCCTATCTCAAGGCACCAAGACAGTAACCGAGCAAGATGCCCACACCCAGCATTATCCACTTGTCTCCATGCATGTGTCTACAAGCACCTGTGCCCACACGCCAGGAAGCGGCGTATGCGACAGAAAAGATATTTTTGGTGATAAAATTATTTGCATATTACATTACTAGGTGTAAAGGAAAAGTAAGAAAATCCCTGGTTTAAGCAAACAAATAATATTGTTCTTTTGTGAAATACAAAACAGGAGAGGTTTGGGCAGAAATTTAGCTTTATATGAATTGAGTGGCCTGTACTAATAAGCACATGGCGTGTCCAGTAGATTAGAGTTCAGAAAACTCTTGTACGGTAAAGGTAACTATTTGGCTCTTTGAAGCCATGGGGGAGAGAGAGAGTGTGTATGTGTGTGCTTGTGTTTAATGTGGGGATACAGTCATTCCAAACTCTGAAGTAAATAGTGTAGCAGGCTAACTGAAAGAACACCCAAGATTTGGTTGTTGTTCATACCTTAGCTCTTCCCCTTTTTCCCTACCTTGAAAATACTGTTAGCAACTGTGGCTCTCCCCTTTACCTTCTTCGTGAAGTCTGTAGCCTTTTGTCACCTAGAGTAAGCCTATTCTTGATCACCCTACTGAAAACAGCACACACGCATACACTGTATTCTTTCATGACACTACTGTACGCATTAAAGCTATCACAAACAAACCCCTTCCTTAGTAGAATGGAAGCCTTACAAGGGCAGCAAGTTTGTTGGTTTGTTTTACTTTGTAAAAGAATTGGTGTCTTGCTGTGTGCCTAAGCATAAGCATTCGGTATTCTTGCTATCTAAACTTAAAAGTGCTGCCAATTTTGGTGATTCATAGCGCATATCTTTTTTATTTCAGCCGGCAGTATCCGTTGGAAATGTTGGCCAGCTTGCAATTGATCTGATTATTTCTACACTGAACATGTCTAAGATTGGTTATTTCTATACTGATTGCCTAGTGCCCATGGTTGGTAATAACCCTTACGCAACTGCAGAAGAAAATTCAGACGAACTCAGTATAAATACTGAAGGTATGTCTATGGCATTTTTTTCTATGTAGAATATTTAGTTATTTGAGACTATATAGCATCAGCTTTTCTGGAACTCCTGGCCCTCCTGTGAATGAACATGTCCAGCCTGAGTTCTTTTAAACTAGGAATAGGCTCGAAGGAACAAAATACAGTGACACTTGAAATGCTATGGTGAAACTCACTGCTCTGCTAATCTAAAACAGGATAGATTAACTCACCAGCTAAAGTGAGTGAGGGCTAACAAGCAAAAAGCAAGAGCTTCCTTTTCCATGTAGTTTTTATATGAGGTGCCACCAGAAGATGCTACCCAGGTTTAGGGAGGATCTTCCTATCTCAGATGGTCTAGTCAAATCCCTCACAGGGGTGTTTTAGTTGGTTCCAGATAGAGTCAGGTGGACAATGCTAACCATCACATGTGGGTTCTCGGGATCCAGACTCTGGTCTTCACACTTGTACACTAGTTCTAAAGCCTTTATTTTAACTGTTGAAAATATTTAAGTGCAAAAGCTATTGTACTCAAGTGTTAACTGATCATACTAATAATTTCAACTTAGCAGCTTCTTCATTGTAGCCTATCCTGTAATTTCCTTTCTTCTCCTTGTAGTATATGCATTACCTTCACGGAAGCTAGTGGTGCTTCAGTTAAGATCAATTTTCATTAAGGTTGGTATATTTACTTTTTTAAATTCATTAAAGTATAGCAACAAAACACAAAGTGAAACAAGCATTGAAAATCAAGACATAGAATCATTTCTCCTGTGTTATGTACACTTAGGAAAGGTCTGATTTTGATAAAAAGTTTATGATATTTCAGTTTTGTTTACTATCATTGAATTTTTATACTGGAAGGAATTGTGACTTGTAAGTTTTTATTACATTCTCAATTCAGGCCGCACTGCAGAAAATTTTTAGTATATGAATTGTTTATCCAAACTGCTCTAGTCACTACTCAATTTTATAAAACTATTGTCATCACTCAAGCTTCTGTTTCACCTCCATAAACACTTAACAATCTGTGTTACAACAATAATACCAGTCATCTGAACCAGGTCAAATCACATCTTTTCCTCCTTGAAGCCCTCAGGTGCCTGGAGCACCTAAATAGAGCCTGCTTGTTTGTATCCCGGCCGCCCAGACCCGGAGAATAACACAGAAACTATATTAATTACAACACTTAATTACAACAGTGGCTTAGGCTTCTTGTTAACTAACTTTTGCATCTTAAATTAACCCATTTCTGTTAATCTGTATATCACACGAGGTTGTAGCCTACCAGAAAGGTTCCAGGGTGTTTGTCTCCTTCAGTAGCTACATGGCCTCTCTCACTCTGGCCTTCTCTTCTCTATCTCTGCTTGGAATTCTTGCCTTGCTCTATTCTGGTCTGCCATAGGCCCAAAGCAGTTTCTTTAGTAACCAATGGTAATAAAACATATTCACAGCATACAGAGGGGAATCCCACATCACCTCCCCTTTTCTGTCTAAATAAAAAGGAAGATTTTGACTTTAACATAGTAAAATTACATATAACAAAACAGGTATCAAGCAAGAATTACAGTTACAATATTTATATCTACTTTATCTTTTATCATAACAAAGGAAAACTATAACTGTCTTCCTCTCCATCAAAGACCCCAAAAAGATATAATATTACCTAAATTAACAGGAAATGCGTTGTAAGCAACTTTGAAAACTCTAGAATTTATAGAGACATCCCACTGCCTGGACAGTTACCCAAAGTTCTTCTGTATCATTGGGTCATTCATCTTCAGCCTACAGGCTCATAGTATCCAGTAGACTTTTCCATGAAGCAGGAAATTTGAAAGACTATTTTGCTTCTACTGGCAGTTTGTCACTTTCTTCTGTATCCTGCAGAATGTCTGGCAGATTCTTTCATGAAGCAGGAATGAAGGACTGTCTCACCTTTAGGCAAATTCAGCAGTCATTTTTCTGTGGGTCTTGCATGTTCAGTTCATACAGCAGACCATCAAACAGTCCAGGCAAGAGCAGTGTTTTGCCCAAATGGCTAACAAACTCCTAAGGAGCCTCTTCTATGCCCATCATCCTCTTAAAGTAGATTGGTGCTGCCAGGAGCAGATGTATCTCGTTGTCATGAAGTCCTCAATTCTTAAAACATTTTAAATGCCATATTCTGTTGTTGAAAGGTTTGAAGAATACCTATCCATCTGAATATCTAGAAGAATACCTAACTAACATGACTACAAGCTTGACTATTATAGATGACTATTAACCTGTATTTCTTAATTATACATTACATTTTTAAATGAGCTGCACAAACACAATACCTTAATCAAGAGCAGAAATTTACATATAACAAAATTGATCTTAAATATGTGTCAATAAACTTAAGGTCCATACCAGTGCAAAGTATTTATCTCTGTAGCACTCAGGGGCTTTCTGTCTCTCAAAATTAATTCTCTATAAGGACCTATGAGACTCTATCAAATGTTTACTGAATTTCTGTTGATTATTTATTATCTGTTCAGGGGGTCAGAAAAACAGAAGGTTTTTGTTTTTGGAGACCAGAATCTGTTATGTAGTTAAGAGTTAGACTCTGCCTCTCTGATGTGTACTATCATTCCCTGTTAAGAGTTTAGTGAGGTGGAGGCAGGTGGATCTCTGAGTTCAAGGTCACCATGGTCTACAAAGCAAGTTCCAGGACAGCCAGAGCTACATAGTGAGACCCTGTCTTGAACAGCTCCCCAGAAAAAAAAAAAAAAGAGTTTACTGGAAAAGTTAACTGTAGCATAGTTTCTATTTTTTTACCTAAATATAATATATATGAGAAAGAATACAAGTAAGAATTCTTCCAAGTGAAGAAAGAGAATATTATCAGCTATCCAAGAACACACAATGATAAGGTAAATCATTATGATAGAGGTGACCGACCCTAGAGCAGATGTTTCGGCAGCGTTCTGGGTGAGTTCATCTGTGCCTCACAGTGGCGTGCCTGCTCATTCTCTTTCTGTGTCGCGTTGTTTTTAAATGCACCATTGCACCACTCTAGCTACATTTGTGTTTTTTCCCATGATGATGCTTTTATATTTGTTTGTTGGGAGTGCTTTTGCTTTTCTTTTTGTTTTTCCAGTTTTAAAAATTACTCCCAGGACCTTGGTCTTACTAGGCAAACACACTTAATATATTTCATCCTTAAATATCCACACAGCTTTGAGGAACAAGGACAGATACCCAAGCTCTGCTGAGTGGTGTATGTATTTGAGGCTCAGAGTTCCATCCCAGTCATGGGGCCGGGAGTGGGGGTGGGGACGACTATACTAAAGACAAGGACAGTCTCACAACCACAACATCATTCTTAACCCTGACACTATTATTACCGACTTGGAAGTGCCATTCAGTGTATTTAGATCTTCCCAATTTTCAAAAATCTTTATGCTCTAGATCCAGTCAAGGCTGACATGTTACACTTGGCAGTTACATCCTTTAGTTGGTATTCTTAACTGTTGCCCTCATCTTTCTGTTCTTCTCAGTATTGATTTCTTTGAGAAATCAAAGCCAGATATTCATTACTTTGTGTTCACCTGATTATTCCTTTTTTAAAATTATTCTACTTACCTCTACTTGTGATCATAGTGCAATGAAATTTTTAATAAGAATACCTTGTATATAACTATGTAGTTAGTTATTAAGTACAATAGATTAAGTAAAGGGAAGGGAAGTTTTCCTTAGGATAGAGATCTACATTTTTCACAATTTATTTTATGATTATAAAGATATTTTAAGTCATTGATCTTTGCCCTTCCTTTTCAATTTAAAAGAAGTAAGTGGATTTGAGGGTACTGATCATTTTAGTGTGTCAGTAAGTCATATTATTATCATGTGAAGTTGATAGATAAATGGTTACATAGGTTATTTTTATACTCAGAACTCAATTTCTTACTTTCTTTCTATTGTCTCAATGGCTTACAAAGTATAAATCCAAGTCATTCTGTGAAAAATTGCTGGTCTGGGTGAAAAGTAGCTGCTGTGCCAGGATTATTGTTCTTTCAAGCAGCCATTCATACCACCGTAATGATGTACAACTTCGAAGGTACGTTCTTGCTATTGCTATGATTTTTTTTTTCCAAGGCAGGGTTTCTCTGTGTAGCTCTGGCTATCCTGGAACTCGCTCTGTACTCCGTTGACCTGGCTGACCTTGAATTCACAAAGACACACCTGCCTTTGCCTCCCAGATTAAAGGTGTGTGCCACCACCACCTGGCTCAGAGTGAGTTCTTAAATAAAAAAAAAAAGACAAAATTTACCAGAAATAGAAGCTTTTATACTTTATCCCAAACAAAGTTAATAAAGTAGTATATGAACTATTCTTACTATTCTAAGATCTGACTTGTTTGCTTCTTTGATTTTTGAGATGGGATTCTCTGGTATTTCTAACTTTTTAAAAAAAAATTTGATTTTTCTAGTACTCCCTTCCGGTATCTGCTTACACCTTCTATGCAAAAGAGTGTTCAAAATAAAATAAAGAGCCTTAACTGGCTAGAAATGGAAAAAAGTAAGTGCATTCCTGAAATGAGTGATTCTGAATTTTGTATCCGCATTCCTGGAGGTGGCATCACAAAAACACTCTATGATGAAAGGTGAGTTTGTCTCTTTGTGTCTCATCGTCTGCATAGCCCAAGTTGGCCTTGATCCCCTGATCCTCCTGTTTCCACTTCCCAAGAGCATGGAATCTGTTTGTACTGTAGGCTGACCTTCAACTTACTTTAATAGCTCAACCTGTGATCTTCCTGTAGTTACCTCCTAAGTGCTAGAACTAAAGCATGCATCACCAGACTGACTTATCTCTGTTCTCTTATAGTGTTTAATCCTTTACTAAACAATTACTAATGAGGAAGGACTTTTGTCATTTGCCATTTGTTTTTTGTGTGTTTTACAACTTTCTGTTTGCCATTTCTTATGTTTCTTGATGTTTTGTAGTGATAGATTTTGATTCTTTTCTCTTTTCCCTTTGTGTTGTATAGTTGTTTGTGGTTCAAAGGATTGAACTTGGGTCCTCATGAAAGAGTTTATGTATGCTTGCTCTCTGCCTCTGAAATAGACTTGTAACCTTTCTATAGAGGTTCTCTTCATGGTCACCCTGGTGGTTACACATGCACCTCCAGGTTATCCAGCTGAAATTAGCACTGCCTTCAGCTGTGCAGAAGAACTCAGTTCTAAACAGCACTGTTCAGCATCACACATTTTGCCTTTATTCAGTGCATACCCACAACATGGTTTATAATTGTTTTAGACATTTGTGTACAGTTTGTTTTGATTAGTCTATGAATTATACACAAGGTGCAAATGAAAGGTGAAAACTATCGCACCTTGCAGGGGAGGCGTCTGCTGACGTCCTGTGCCGTATATTCTGCTCCACCCCTGCTGGGAAGAGATGGGATGAGCACCACCCCTGTGCCCCTCAGATTGCCTGTGGGCAAACACACCCTTCCTCTGCTCATTGGACACAGTGTCAGCACGCCTGTAGTCCCACACTTAGGACTCTAAGGCAGGAGGATTGAGAGTTCAAGTCTAGTCTGGGCTACATCGTGAAACTGTCTTAGAAATAATCAATGAGGTTTGCTTTTGCAGACCCTGAAGGAGTATTGTGGCTAATAACTGTTATAAGTAACCAACATGATGGTGCTTGGCACTTTGCTGTGCTGTTGATGCATGGTTCACTACAGATACCTTTGCTAACCACATAAGAAAAATAGTTCAAAAGCTATGAGCTTAAATGACTTCCTCACAGCTATACACATAATAAATAGAGCCAGGATTCAAACAAGGGGTCTAGCATTCTGCATTTTTAGCTTTTTTAATCTCTTCACTGGCAGGGCTAATGCCCATGGTGCATGGCACATTAGATTTTATTCTTGATTGAACTTCTTATTGTTTATGGATTTTTATGAGTTTTTTGCCCCCTTCCACTGATTTAGGGATTAAACCCAGGTCCTCAGAAATGCTACTTCTGCAAGAACTTTCCATTGAGCCAGATCTCTAGCCCCTCCTGTTTTTTATTTTGAAAACATTTAAAATTTCTCTCACCAAAACTGTATGAGCTTTTCAGTTTGTTTTTCTGGAACAATTTATTTATATTATGTTTATGTTTCATTTCCTTCCCTTTTTTTTTTTTTCTTGACACAGGGTTTCTTTGTAGATTTGGGGCCTAGCTCTTGTAGACCAGACCAGGTTGGCCTCAAACTCACAGAGATCTGCCTGCCTCTGCCTCCCAAGTCAGAGAGATCCCTCCTCTCTGATGACCCTAGCTTGTGTCAAGTTGACACAAAATTAGCTAGTGCATATACTCAGAAATCACCACTGCACGGCTCAAAGTAGGCTTTTGAAGTAGATCAGAACACAGTTCATGTATTAATGGCTAAAAATAGAAAGGTTGGTTTTCCCTGAGAATGAGAATGAGGCACATACTTGCATATTTCCCCAGCTCCTGGGAAGCCGAACATATGGGACAATAGGAGGTAAAAATAATTCTTTCTTACAAAGTGATGTCTTTTGTCTAACATGAGGCATGCTAACTTAACTGTAAAGATTCACACACTACAATAAGCATCTCGTATCAGTAGAAAACACTGAATTGTTCTCCTTATTTCTTGTAGCTGTTCTAAAGAAATCCAAATGGCAGTTCTGCTGAAGTTCGTTTCAGAAGGGGACAATATCCCAGATGCAGTCAGTCTTGTCGAGTATCTTAATGAATGGCTTCAAATAGTCAAACCGTCTGTAAGTCTCTGATCTGATTCTTTCTGTGTTCATTAACTTGCATTTTATGTGTAAGTAGACTAAAGAGATGAAAGTTTGTTCAGTAAATAAACATCTTTACATAGCTTATTTTGAGCCAAACTTGAGAATAAAGGAGGACAGTAACTGATCTGTTATCTCATTGTTTGATTAAGGCAGACAGGAAAGCCCTACGTTCCTCAGTGTGCTCACTGTTCAAGTCAAAAAAAAAAGAAAAACTTTTTGTTTTGTGGTTTTGTTTGGTTGGTAGGTTTACTTTGTGGTACATGTTCTCTCTGTGTAGCTCTGATTGTTCTGAAGCTTGAACTCTGCCTCCCAGGGCTGGATTAAAGGTGTGTACTCCAAGTGCTGCCCCAGGCAACTTCTTATAATAATAAACCAGAATTCTGTGCGGCACAGTGCTGTAGGAAAGTAGTGTTGCTGTGGCCATGTGAGCATTACCATGGCTATTGAATATACTGTAATTGACATATCTTTTCCTGTCGTGGAGTGAATGCTATACTCTTAGTTAGGGTTTCTATTGCTGTGACAAAAGACCATGATGAAAAAGAACTTGGGGAGGAATGGGTTTGTTTGGCTTACACTTCGACATTGCTGTTCGTTACTGAAGAAAGAACAGGAACTCAAACAGGACAGGAACCTGGGGGTGGAAGCTAATGCAGAGGCCATGGAGGGGAGCTGCTTACTGGCTTGCCCAGCTTCTTATAGAACCCACTACCACCAGGCCAGGGAGGGCACCACCCACAATGGGTTGAGCCCTTCCTCATTGCTCACTAGTTGAGAAAATGCCTGACAGGTGGATCTCTTGGAGGCATTTCCTCAGCTGAGGATCCCTCCTCTCTGATGACCCTAGCTTGTGTCAAGTTGACACAAAATTAGCCAGTGCATATACTCAGAAATGAGCCTGTAGGCCTTACAAAGAGGGATGTTGCACACCTTTAATCCCAGCACTTGGGTGGGAAGCGGGGAACATATTTGAGATGAAGGTTAGAAACATTATTTTATCTAATTATGTACAAAACTTGTTGCTTTAGCTACAAGTGTCAGGACCAAAGGAGATTTGAGTGGCGATATTAAAGATAAAACTGTCTTTTGCGGTTCTGTTACAGAGTAACAACCCCACAGCATCTGCCTTGCCATGGAAGATCCCCAGCTCCTGGCGTCTCCTCTTCGGCAGCGGCCTTCCTCCTGCACTGTTTTGATCAGTTTTGAGCCTTCTCGCCTCATCCCAAAGAAATCATAAAATGAGCTGCTGGATATATGCTATACCGAAATGTATACTTTCGGGGATATGTTGGAAATGGTTTTCACAGAAAAACCTCAAAGAGGTTCTAGTTGATATACTTGTTATATACAGTAAATGTAAATTTTGTACAATAAAACTTTATTTCCTAAACAGTTTGTCTGAAAAGTATCCCTTTTTAAATGAGTACTGTAGCCGGGCGATGGTGGCGCACGCCTTTAATCCCAGCACTCAGGAGGCAGAGGCAGGCGGATCTCTGTGAGTTCGAGACCAGCCTGGTCTACAGAGCTAGTTCCAGGACAGGCTCCAAAGCCACAGAGAAACCCTGTCTCGAAAAGCAAAAAAAAAAAAAAAAAAAATATATATATATATATAATAAAAATAAATCAGTACTGTGCTAACTTCCTGTTCCTACTGTGATAAATTATCACAAGCCTAGTGGAATGGAGCCATGAGTTTATTTTCTAGTCTACAGGGCTGCAGTCCAGCTGGTGTCAGCTGCTTTTCCGCAGGATAACTGTTACAGTGATGTCAGAGTGAAACTAGGAGGACGAAAGGCTACCTGTTAGACTGAGCAGTCCTTTTTATCCTTCTTGTTTTTGAATCCAGTTTCTCTGTGTAGCCCTCGCTGTTCTGGAACTCTCTGGACCAGACTGGCCTCAAATTCGGATCTGACTGCCTCTGCCTCCCTGCTGTGATTAAAAGCCTGTGTCACCACCACTCGGCCAAACCATGCAATTCTTAAATGCAGTGAACATCAGGCCTTACAGTTTCATACAGTAAAGAGTAACAAGCATAAGAAGTTAGTCTGGTCCTGACAGAACAGTGGTAAGTGACTTCAGTGTCTTGCTGTTAATCTGTCCATATATCATCCAAACAAAATCCAACTTCAAGTTAAGCTACATCATACACATATGGACTTAACAGACTTCATCTAACAGGGGTACACTCTGGCCATGGGATCTCTAACAGTGATGATATTCTTGCCACAGAGCAAGTTTTAACAAATTTAAGAGAACCAAAATAATTTATTTTATGAGCTCTGTGAAAAGACGGTGTCACATCCAACAAGACGGATAAGGTGCTTGCTGCCGAGCCTGACAAAATATGAGTTCAAGTCCCATATGAGCAGCTCCCTCTACTGCCTGGGAGAATGATCCATGCCCTTCCGCTGACGTCTTTTCACATGTAGTGGCCATGAGAGGTGTGCTAGAGACAATTTGGACCTCACAGCAGCTCATCCCAGATGTACACAGTCTAACTGAACAGAATCCATGTCATTCAGCTCTGAGGCCTGAGAAGAGCAGCCTGTGTGAGGTCAGGAAGAACTGAATTCTGGCCTGCCTTGACCCAGGCACATGACTGTTTCAGATGTAGGGGGTGCCCAGTAGACTCGGCCAAGACAAGTTCAGAGGGCACAAGTGTCCGTCAAAAGTTCAGTTGACAGAGCTGGAGAGATGGCTCAGCTCTTCCAAAGATCCTGCGTTCACTTCCCAGCAACCACATGGTGGCTCACAACCTTCTAGAGTGAGGTCTGGTGCCCTCTTCTGGCATGGAGGTGTACATGGAGGAGCAACATCTTATACATAATAGATAAATACAACTATTAACAGTGGAGCTCAAAATGAGGACCTAAGTTGGGCTGGTGGTGCACATCTTTAATCCTAGCACTCAGGAGGCAGAGGTAGGCAGGCAGATCTCTGTGAGTTCAGGCCAGTCTGGTCTACAGAGCTAGTTCCAGTATAGCCAGTGACAGAGAAACCCTGTCTTAAAAAACTAAACAACAAAGAAGGGCCCAAACACTATTCTCAAGCAGTTTTATTTATTTTTGATAGAAAATTTTCTTCAATAACTCACATTTTAAAATGTTTAATTTAATTTTATTTTAGTTTTTTGGAGACATGATAATCTCTGGTTAGCCCTAGCTGTCCTGGAACTTGCTCTGTACACCAGGCTGGCCTCAAACTCACAGAGATCTGCCTGCTTCCTGACTACTGGAATTAAAGGTGTACACCTCCACTGCAACAAATAAATAGAAAGAAGAAAGAAAAAAAAATTAATTCTGTAGAGGTGGCAACTCTCCAGAGGTAGAGAAGGCAGATCTCTGTGAGGTCAGCCCGGTTACAACAGTGAGTTGCACAAGAGTCAGAACTACATACTGTCTTTTGTAGCCCTGACTCAAAAAACAAAACAACAACAAAAAGATTATTCAAATAAACAACAGAAAAATTTTAATTTTTACCTCATTTTTAAAAATAAGATTTTGTTCTGAAACCTACATCAGGCTTGAACTATCTTTGCTCTCCTGCCTCCATCTCCAGACAAGTATGATCAATCATACCTGGATTTTTATATTGGAAAAAATTAGATGTATTTATGAGTATTTTGCTTACATGTATGTATGTGCACCAAGTGTGTGCTTACTGCCAGCAGAGGTCAGAAACAGGGCATTAGATGCCCTAGAACTGAAGTTATGGATGGTTGTGAGCCACCATGTGGATGCTGGGAACTGAACCTGGATCCTCTGCAAGAGCAACAAATGTTCTTAACCAATGAACCATTTCCCTACCTCCAGCTCCCATTCCTGGCTTTAAACAGCAGCACACACAACAAAAACAGTGAAGATGGCTAATGAGATAGCTTCGGCAGTCAACAGTGCTTGCTCTAAGCCTGACGAGCTGAGTTTAGTTCCTAGGACAGACACACACACAGAACATGTGTGTGTGTGTGTGTGTGTGTGTGTGTGTGTGTGTAAATAAATAAATGGGTTTTGGGTTTTGTTGTTGTTGTTTGTTTCAGTTTTTCGAGACAGGGTTTCTCTGTAGCTTTGGAGCCTGTCCTGGAACTAGCTCTTGTAGACCAGGCTGGCCTCGAACTCACAGAGATGATCCTCCTGCCTCAGCCTCCTGAATGCTGAGATTAAAGACATACACCATCACCACCCCGCATAAATGTATTAAATAAATAAATTTATCATCTTGAGATAATTTTGAAAATAGTAATCATTCAGCAAATGTTTATGGACAATGTCTTTGTCCATTTTCTTTATATAACAAAATGCCTGAGGCAGTGAGCTTTATGAATTAAACAGCATTCAGCTCTAGGCTGACTCATAACAGTTCACTCTGAGAGGAGCTAATCTTTTCTTAGATCTACTTCAGTCCCCTCCAATGAGGCCCTACCTCTTAATACCCTCTCAATACCCTCCAATTGGAGTCAAGATTGCGGCAGATAAACCTGGAAGCAGTCTAGCGCTGCAGAGCCTTCCAGATGGCATCCAGTTGTGTTAGTGAATGTGTATGAACTCCCCTCAGGCCTGGGTCTCACAGACCCCAGCCTGCTGAACCACTTCCAGTCCCTGTGCATCTTTGTTGGATGCAGCTGGAAATCTTCCAGACTTCACGTGTGGAGCCATGCAGGTTCTGTAGTCCCGGGTCTGCTGCCTCTATCTTCACGCTCAGACCCTAGCCAGGTTCCTTTTATGGCTGCCTCCTGACTGCTGAACTGTGTGTGGAAACAGTTCTCATATGTGCTCAGGCCACGCCCAGTTAGACAAACCACTTCCTATTGCCTGTGAGTCAAGATGTGGGACTCTCAGCTGCTTCTCCTGCACCGTGTCTGCCTGCCTGCTACCATATCGGAAACACAATGGTAATGGATTAAATCTCTGAAAACATAAGCCACCCCAATGAAATGTTTTTCTTTTATAAGAGTTGCTGTGCTGGAAGGAGGTGGGAATCCCAGCTCTCGGAAGGCAGAGGCAGGTGGATCTCTCTGAGATCCTGATCTGAGCCTGGTCTGCAGGGTGAGTTCCAGGAGAGCCAGGACTGTTTCATAGAGGAACTGTGTGTCAAAAAAAGAAAAATATGAGTTGTCCTTGGTATGCCTAGGTCACGGAGTCCCCCCAAAACCAACTAGGAGACAGAGACCTGTATGTAACAGCAAAGAGCCTTTATTCTTACATAAGTTTGTGGACTGGAGCTCTCTTGTGTCCAGCGAATTGGTGTGGAGAGCCCAGAGTTCAGTTGGGGTTGGGTTTTAAAAGGCAAAAGTTGGGGTGAGAGATTTCTAACTTTCAGGACCCCTGATTGCCTGACGTTTGTCGAGGGGTGTCCTGGTGAAAAGGGAAGGGTGTGTGCTGGCGGGTGATCCTATCTATAATGGTTGGAACGTTAGGAATTTCCTTTGGATGGTGTGTTCTGGGTGGTGCCTCGTAGTCTAGGTTGTGGTCTTTCTTGTAACCAGGTATTGTCTTAGGGTAAACTACTGAGACTCGGGCCTCTATGGAGTTTATCATGGCTGGGTCCTACAGCCGTGGTCATGGTGTCTCTTCAGGGCAATAGAAACCCTGACAGAAGTTGGAACCCGGGACCGAGATAGTGCTGGGATAGGCCAGACTGTGCCTTTAAGGTATATGGACTTTGGGACTGTGGATTAGGAAAGGAGTTGAACGCTTTAAGTGTTGCTTAGTGGGACATACTCGTAAAAACATGGAAGACAAGTGGTTCTAAGTTATTGAACTGTGGAAGCCTGGCTCAATAGAAAATATATTAATATGTTGTCTAAAGGGAGTGGTAACCTCAGGGCAAGATGCCACCCAGCTAAATTCCAACTAGTGATAAAGAAGGCTAAGGGAATGGTGATGGGGCACACTTTTAATCCCAGCACCTAGAAGGCAGAAGCTGGTGAAGATGTAACTGAACAAGAGGACCATGTTCCATCCGCAACAAGCAGCAGAACTCGGAAGCTTCAGCCATGTGGTTTTGGAGTTAAGGATAGAAGGGGTTATGGAATTTCCCTCAATGACTACAGGAATCTGCTGAGCCAGACATGTGTCAGGATGTCCCTGAATGGAGGCCTAAAGAGGCCATTCCATGAAGCTGTGAAGCTGAAGCCTGGATTTGCCTTGGAGACCCCAAGATATTGGAGATGTCAAAGTCATGAGATAGCTGCTGAGGAGAACGGCTGACAGGGAGTGGAACCAGCCCAAGAGAAAGAAGTGTGTTGCAATCAACAAAGCTGGAAGGAGTGGGATATAAGAAGAGCATTTTGACATCAGACATGAAGATGCTGAGTTTGGAATTTGCCCTGATGGTTTTCAGTCTTGCTTTTGTCCAATATTTCCTCACTATCCTCCCTTTGGAACAGGTAATATATATCCAGTGTCATTACATGTTGGGAGTATGTGACCTGTTTTTTTTTTTTTTTAATTTTAATTTTACTGGCGGTTACAGATAAGAGACTGACAGACTCTCAGAAGAGACTATGAACTTTAGTTTAAGTTTGGGACTGTTAAAGATGGCTCCCAAAGGGAGTGGCACTTTTAGGAGGTATGGCCTTGTTGGAGGAAGTGTATCACTGTGGACTTTTGAGGTCTCATGCTCAAAATGCACCCAGTGTCTAAGACTACTTTCTGTTGCTTGCACAAGATGTAGAACTCTTAGCTACCCTCTACAACACCAACGTCTGCCTGCACGCCGCCATGTCCTGCCATGACGATAATGGACGAAACCTCTGAAAATGTAAGCCACCCCAAATAAATGTTTTACCTTTATAAGAGTTGCCATGGTCATGGTGTCTCTAAATAACAACAACAAAAAAACCCTAACCAAGACACTGGGAAATGTGCATTCACCATGGCTTACCATACTTGCTGTTTATTCTATGAGAATCTGGAGGTGTGAACTGAGAGTCATGGAAGTACACTCCTGGGCAGGTTGGTGAAGATATTCTGAGAGAATCTGTAAGTATGCAGCACTGCTGAGGCGAAGGGAAGTCTCTCCTGTAAGCCACACCACAATGAAGCTTTAACCAAGGCAGGGACGGAAGGCAACTGTCTGTGAACAAGATTAGCAGGCTGTGAACAGGGGCACACAGCTAAGTAGAGGAAGCAGGAAGGACTTTCAAGTTCCCAGTGAGTGCAAAGCACGTGAAAATGGGAATATAGATCATGTCCAATTCTGGAGGCTAAGGATCCAGTTAGGGATAGATTTAGGGTTTGAATCACTGAAGGGAGATCTGGCCTGGGGTTTAAGAAGTTGCATGTAGGGGGCTGGAGAGATGGCTCAGAGGTTAAGAGCATTGCCTCCTCTTGCAAAGGTCCTGAGTTCAATTCCCAGCAACCACATGGTGGCTCACAACCATCTGTAATGGGGTCTGGTGCCCTCTTCTGGCCTGCAGGCATACACACAGACAGAATATTGTATACATAATAAATAAATAAATATTTAAAAAAATAAATAAATAAATAAATAAATAAATAAATGAAGTTGCATGTAATCAACTTCAGGACATGACCAAGACTTGTACAAAGATGAGATCAACCACAATCAGTATGTCAAAACCAGAGGCCAAAGATGGAATCTCTAGAAATAGATCTGAGTTGGAGCAAGCCCAGAGATGTCCAGTCTGAGGAGTCCACGGTATCACTACTAGAAGCCACATGGCTTTCTATGATTATGGTTGTAAGTGAAGGGCTTTCTGGCCACCTCTGGAGGGGATTAAGAAAGGTGTGTACCACGAATGAGAGGAAGGGGAACGGATTTCGTGGCGATTCTGACACAAAGGGAAGAAGCCTGCTGTGGTACTCTGGGGTAATAAGCTCTTTAGGAAGGATACAGCAGGAACTCAAAGTTACCCAGAAACTTTGGCATACAGGGTAAAAAGGAACATAATGCAAGCAGACTTTTAAAGGATGAAGGAGGTGTGTCTATGATTTACTACTTGGAAGCACTGCTGCTCTGTGACTACTGCATGGTTTGAGTTTTTCTCCAGCACTAAGAGGGTAATATTCCAAACCCACCACTTATCGTGCAAATTAGATGGGGAATAAAGGAGAAGCCACAAGTGGAAAGGAACCTCTGACATCTTTACATAAGGAAATTTTGGAGAAGACACAATGTCCAACACAAGACAAATATGTTAAAAGCTGCACCAAACAATAATACTATTACAGATTGTTTTCCTAAGTGACAAGAACAATATTGTAACTTTTCTGTTGCTACTTCTGCCTAACCAGTACTACTTAAGCTAGAAAGCCTACTGAAGCCAAGTGACCTGTATTTTGAACTGATTTCCATTTAAATGTTAATTTCTAGCTATAATAAAATTGAGTGAACCCATGAGAAAATATCCACTATTTGAATTGGAGCTGTCCTGAGATAACACATACACACACACACACAAACCAATGGTCTATTTAATAAAAATATTTAATGCTGCCAAAAAGTATAAAAATACATTAGGAATGGCAGTACAATACAAAGTAGTCTCTTCTAATTTATTTCCTTTACATCTTTCTACATTTCATACATGTTAAAAAACAACACATCAAATTAAAGGGTTTGCGAGTCTTCTGCTGGTGGTGTTCTTCATCCCCTGGATGTAAAGCTTACTTTGTAAACAGACAACAGGTGAGGCAATCTACAGGGTTAGCACGCCTCACTTTAGTTTCCGGAGTGGGCTTCAGGTCTTGCTTTGCACATCAAAGGTTCAAAATTTATAGCTGCAGAATAGTCTCAAGTCATGAATATTTAGGTGTCTGTCAATCTTGGCCTAAAACATAAAATAAGAAGTCATCTATTCAATTCCTATTCACCACACACGGAGATGTACACAGATGCAAACACGAAAGGACTAACACGGAACTGAGAAGTCAACCAAAACCCAATCCAACACGTCACATCCAGTCACACAAGCGCTTCCCCAGAGGGCGGTTTCCGGGGAGAAGTGGTGCTGTGAGACAGACCTCTTCAATAATCACTGAGTCTTTCAGGCCATCCTGTTCTACTCAAGAAATGACCTCGACATAATTTACCAAGAGACAGACGAGTTTAAAAACTAATGCAGTCACAAGAATAGAGCAGGCTTGTACTCTATGTGTTAGACTTGCCCACAGCCTGATTTCAATGCAAAAGTCCAATCCCCTTTGGACAACCACTGTCAGACAGACTGCTAGAAAATTCAAAGTCTGGACATAAAGTGAGCTTGTACACTTAAATTGTTATTTTCAGCCTTTGTATTTTCTCCTGAAGGATAACATTAACGATTATAACTACTAAAGTAAGTAAAACAGTTCAGTGCATTTTAATGCCAAAAGTAAAATGAAAAAAAAAAAAAAAAA